TCTCCAAAGTTAAAATGTGTTGGAAGCAATTTCCAACCTCTTTTGAATATTTTTTCTACTTCCACTCTAAGGACCATACTTACTCATGTCTGATTTCCATCTCACTAAACTCACACCACACACTCGCCAAATCATCCACCTTGCGGTAATTCACTTTAGTAGCCTTGTCAAATATAACTCGCGCCTCAGCCAGTTGACCATGCTGCTCATAGAACTTAGCAAACTCCACCCACAGGGTGTGGGGTTTGCCGGATGCTAGCTTTGGCTCCACTGTCTGTACAGCCTCTGTGTATGTGTTGATGATCTCTTTGGGTTTTCCCTCATACAGTTTAACTCTTTTGTGCCATTCATGGACATTGTGAGGGTTTTGACGTAAAAGGACACTAAGACAAAGTATAAAACAGGAAAATACTCAGAATGATAACCACAAAGAAAATACATCCATACAAACAATATACAGCCATACATTTGTATGTTTTACCATTCCAAGCAAATGTCACATGCGAGAGGGTTTGAAAAAGTCTTACAGTTCAAAGTGATGGGAAAATAAATTCCATGTTCTTCACAGGGAAGTTTTGCTAGTATTGATAGCAAATCAGGCTTTTTATCAATTAATCTTGCCCAAGAGTAACACACTGAAAGCTAAACTGTGAGAGAAAAAATACACATGATGCTCAAAAAAGAGAAAGACCAATGAGTTATGGATGATAATCACTGAAAAACTGTCAAAAATATCCATCAAAAAAATACTGTTCAACCATCATGGAGAGAACTTCCAGACAAAACTTACTTTTTCTCTCAAAAATGCATGTTTGTGCACACTCAAGGTTACCTTTATCACATACCTGCTCAGTAACAGTGGCCTTCTGTCCATCAAATGTTCAAATCTTGCCATTCTAAGTTCCAAGTCAATGTCATCTGATTATGAAGACAAGGAGGCCATGATAATTTAAGGTAGAAATTAACTAGCAAGTATTAGCTACATGTTAATGTTAATCTCACTTGCAGTAACAAATACCCTACACAATAACAATATCATTGTACCTTCTTCACTAGGACCCATCTCTGATGTTGTTTCCATCTTGGCACTGATCATACTTTCCTCAAACTGTGCATAGGCATCAAAAACCTAAACAATCAATAACTACATAAATCAAAAGTCAATCTCATCATGGGGAATTAGGTCAAAAACAACTCTTTGACTATTCTCTCCAAAACATTCTACAAATATCCATGTGTAAGTTGTAAGTGAAGAATGGAACATCAAATTCAGTCTACAGTACAAGTCACTATCTCCAACACATTTCAAGGGTGGAACAATGAAGTGAAAACAGGAGTGCAGTACCTGACCAAAGTCTCTAACAGTCATAACTGTTTGAATAGCTTCCTCATAAACATCTCGCGCCTGAAAAAAAAAAGATATCCACATTACACTGTCAAATATCTTGACAGGTAGGTTTACAAAGTATATATTTTTAATTCAATGCTTTCATAAAAGAATTTGTGTAATAATCTAAATTGTTTTGTTAAACAATTTAAAATTTTTCACACTTGTTTTATTGTAATTTCTTGTTTCCTTGTGTACTTGTTATCATGTAACAAATATAATTTTTTAACAAAATACATCACAAATTCTTGAAAAAAAAAAAGAAACCAATAGCAGAGGCTTCACCTTTTCAAAGTGTCCACTTCTTATAAAAAAATCAGCCAATGAATTCCAAAGCTGTCCCAAACTGTCAGAAAATCGCCGCAAACCTCCACGGATAATGTCAGTAACTTTGAGACTCTTTATCTAGAGATAAAATAGTAATCCATCCCAAGTGTTATAGAGAAGAGCCTGATCAGGTCATCCATGGGAAATTTCTTAGAAATCTGGTTACTTAAATTTCCTTACCTTATCAGGGTTCTTTGAGATAAGGTCACAAAGTTCTTGCCAAAGCTGAAAAAGAAGTAAAAATCTCTGGAAACTATTGCAATTTGAGAACTAAAACAAATGCTGTTTATGAAATTTTCTCCCAGCTTGTTATAGAGCAAAGGTCTTAAAGTTTGACAACTACCAAGATCACCAACAAACACCTAAGTAACCAATCCTATTACAAGAAACACACCACTAAATTCCATCTAAACTCTCTGTACTCTTTGCATAAGCACTGATTGGAAAAATTGAATTTTATTGGAATTATTTTCATTTTGATTGGTTACTTAAAGTTACTATAGTCTATGGAGAGAAACTTGCTGATGTACTACCTTGTGGTTTGATTTTCCTTCCTTGGACACAAATTTTTCCTGAAAAATACAAGCAAATAAATATTAGTATAATCTATTAAAGGGGATAATTTCCTAAAGAAACTTTGGTATTGTGTTGGTGGGGGGTATTCGTGTTGGATCAAGTGGTTTTATCAATTAAGTTACTAATGTAAATTGGCCCACACAAAGAGTTTCTAAAGTTAATATTTAGAGCATCATCTCTTTCAAAATTAGTATAATGGGATTGTGCTATTCAACTACGCTGTATTGTTTTTGTGTCATAGGGTAACATAACTAGTAGCATTGACCAATACCTTGTTAACAATGAAAGCGAGTCGTGTTGCTGCTTCATCCAGCCATCCAACAGACTTCAAATAATCAATGTAATCTTCTGTGTTTTCTGGCTCCAACTTTTTTAAACAAAAATTTACAAAATAGATTTCCTCTTTATCTAATTTTAGACTGTCTTTTAACACCATACTATATTGTAACCATGATCACAAGCAACAATCTACAGATCACAAGCTAGGAAATTCTAGGGAAGATTCACAGGAGCAACTTAAAGGAGCTAAACAAGAGGCAAATACATGTACATGTAGAGCAGAATTATAACTATTTTACTGTATTATCAACTTAAAGTGAAAATTTCCTCACCTTATCTCTACCATTTAGCTTGGACAACACAACATGATTTAAAGCAATACCAAGTCAAATATCAATGAAACCTATCATTGATTTGAAATGAATATTTACTCTGTCCATCATTATTGACCACAGATATAAAGTCTTTCTCTCAGTTGTATAATGTGCAATGTCTTCCTAATTGGCTTAGAAAATCTCATAATTGTTTGAAAGAAGTTGAGTGAACAAACCTTTAAGTATCTTCGGTAGACTCTGACTGCTGTCTCAGGAATGTGGTACTTGCGAACAAACTTAAGATACAAAGGCCAGATCCGACGGTGTTGTGTTATTGGCAGTGCCCTCAATGCTCTGTCAAATGTGCGCCTTGTTCTTGTCACTTTACACTGATCCACTAAAAACTGACAATAGTCTATCCAGATCCTTGGCATCTAGCAATTGTATAACTATCAGTAAGTATTGACAACACAGTTTCTCTTAGTAGAATTTAAAAGATTCCAGCATTAAAAAGCCACATGAAATAATAAAGGAGTAGGAAATGTCGTCATCTTTAAATTAAACGACTTTTATAATTTGAAATCTACTTGAAATAATAGACAGGAGTAGAAAAAAAAATTCTACAATTCATTTCCTGAAGCCTTGTGCTGGGGACTGTTTTAATCATTGCATTTTAAATCATCAAAATTGAGCTTTCTATATTTTTCACTGAAGTTGCTTGAGATTCAGCTCACCACACCTTATGCATGAAGACAAGAGATCTTTCAAATGCATTGTTTATGTCCTCATAAGCAGGGTCTGTAATAGGCCTGAGGAGAAAATTCAGATATTAAAGTGTTCAGCTTTTACTTTGCACACATATTTTGAATATATGTTCAATTTGAATGATTTATGGAACACACTTCAACAAGATTTACTTCACAGTTTAATTTTCCTCTTGATATCAGTTTAAACAAACCATGTTTGACATGATGAGAATTACTCCTCGATTTCCATTATTTTATCAAAAATATAATTTAAAAAATATTATTACTCCTACGAACCTCCCTCTGACTTGTCTTCTTCTTTCTTTCAAATACAGATACCAGATCTTATAGCTGAAATAATTTAGGCAAAAAAATATGATATTTAATAATAAGCATATTTTACTTTGAAAGTCCCACTAACACATACTTACCACCCTTTTCACATCTCAAGAGCATCTGCTTGGAGAGCATCCACTATGATATTTTGTTTATCTTTTGATTTAACCACAAGTGGACTATATACACAAGCTCAACTGTACCTTCCAGGAAGTTCCTTAAGAGATCGCTCATAGAGCAGATTCAATGCTGTATTGGAGCCCTTTTTGGCCTTGTGCTCAATGTACCTGATCCAGAACTTCACAGAATAAGGACTTCGAATTATTTCCTCCTCATAGGGGAGGTCCTCTTCTTCCTGAAGCATAATTTTATGAAAGTGTCAAGAACTATCCCTGGCCAGACATTTCAGGTTAAATTTTTTTCAAAAGGAAAAAGTTACTTTTAAAAGAAACAAATACCTAAACACTAATTCACCTGTCCCATGACAATGTTCGTACTTAAATTAGTAGAAATTAGAAGAAAGCAATCGTAGACTATTTGTCAAAGTATTCCCCGCGACCATATTTCCTGATGATCATGAGTTCTCATTACGAAATGTTGTAGCAGGAAATTAGATCAAAGTAAAAGGAAACTATTCTCCACATCTCCAGCTCAGGCCATCGAAAGTTAGATGGAGAAGTCTCCGATGAACATCCTCTCTTGCCATTGATAAAAGTAACGTGTTACATGAAATTTGTGCAGCATTGCTTGTTATGACAAACGTGTTAGGATACTTACTATGATAAGGTTGTTGGATGTCACCGGCATTGTAGGTCTCGAGAATCAGTTATATCTTTACACGATGTTGATTCCCTAAAAATTTTAAATCATATGGCCAGATCTACCCCGCGGAACTGTCTTCAGTACACAACAAATTCTCCAAAGATCGTCGCCATTACGAACATTCTGAGCCAGTAATGTCAAATACTAGCGGATGTATTGAAATCAACATGCGTCTCAGCTTCCAGCTCAGTGAAATCACTCGGTTACCAAGCGAAAGGTTCGGTTCAGATCCTAAAACGAATATTGCGGACGAAACGAAAGGGCTCTAAATTAGCGTTTAGAATGAGTGATTTACCACCTGGATGGGAAGAGAAAAAATCTAAGTCTACTGGAAAGACCTACTACTTCAACAGAGGAACAAACGAAAGTCAATGGGAGAAGCCAGCAGAAAGAGCGAGTAATCAAGTTCGCGCTTCGCACCTCCTTGTTAAACACACGGAGTCTAGAAGGCCGTCTTCTTGGAAGCAAGAAAGGATAACGCGCTCTAAAGACGAAGCTTTAGAAATAATTAAAGGTATCATAAAATAAAACTCGGTCCCCTCTTAAAATGGTCGTGACTCTGTCATTGCACGCCTCTAGCAAAGAATTCACAATCTCGATGGCCTCGATTTTTGGAGATGGCAGCGCCCATTCCCCACCCCACTCTGCCCCGTGGGCAAATGATGAGCAACTTCACGAAAAAATATGGTTGTGTTAAACAATTAAAACTGGAGAAATACATTTCAATCAAGCTGCTTTCAAGAACTCTCATTTTAGAGTGAGATTATCTGAATGTTTTAGCATATACAGTACTAGGGCCAAGTAGAGTTGCACTTAAGAGCAAAGCAACGGACAAGATCCCCGGAACAAAAAGGTGTAAATTCCTTTTTTCTGTGCACCTGCTCTCCTTTGAAATGCTTGTATAGTCCATCAAATTTGTGATCCTAGGGTCAAATTTTCTGTCATTGCATAAACAAACATCTTCGGAAAACAATGGCTATGTATCTACTTTTTCTTTTTGCAAAAGTTTGTAGTTTTGACAACCTCATTGTAATGAACACTTTACATCCTTAATTTTGTCCCTCTCATAGATTTTGTACTAGTGCACTGAACTTAGCAAAATTTTGTGATTCTTGAGTAGGCAAAACAGGGGATAACACTTCACTTCAACAACAATAATTGACAAGAATCAGCTTTGTGCCAATCAGCCCAATGAAGTTCATCAAAGGCTAAGATCAACATTGTTTAATCAGAACTTTTAGTAACCCTTTCCCTCCCCCCCTCCATCTCAAATAAGCAAGCCATGGATGACTGTTATTATTGGCTGCACCAATATGGTTTTGTATTCTGACTAAGTTGCTAGTTCTCTCTTGTGTGAGGTCACTTTTATGTGGCAACTACTCCTTGTTATGTCTTACAGATTATCGTAAACGGATTACATCAGGAGAAACCACTCTTAAGGAGCTAGCAAGCACAGAGAGTGATTGTAGCAGTGCCAGAAAGGAAGGAGATTTGGGATTTTTTGGACCAGGACAAATGCAAAGTAAGACAATACTATTTCTCTCTCCTATAACTTTAATGTGTTCTCTCCCTTGGTGAAATTACTGAGACTTCACATGGTTGGACATAAACACTTCACCAGAGAGAATTTGCTGTTATTATCATGTATTTGAGGTCTGCAATGATGACTTGGATAGAAAAAAAAGATACTATAGTTTGAAGCACATCTGCAGTAGTGATTGAAATAAAGCATCCCTAGATACTATATTTCCTGGAATAAGTGCCCAGGTGCTTATTTAAAATTTCTGCTAAAGGAGGGCACCTATCTAAAGGAGGGTGCTTAATTGTGGGGGGGTGCTCATTATACTCCTGAAATGATGCCATTGTAGTTCAAGCTTTAAGAGTCATATGTAGAGTGGCAATAGAAACAGGTTTTTCTCATATCTCAACTATTTAGGAAATGAGGGAGGATTGGGGGGGGCAGCACTTATTTGAGAGGGGCACTTGGCTCATGGCTTAGGAAGGGGTGCTTATTTGGGGGAGGGCACTTGTTAGTGCATTGGCACCTATTCAAGGAAATATGGTTTACATGTATTGGTGAGAATAGGATTTGATTTCATAATTGTCCCATGAAACCTGCAGGGTGGCACTCTAACCAATGAGGAGCTGGCCTGCAGGTGATTAAAAGCATATATGAATTTGTTGATTTGTTTATTTTGTTTATTACTGAGAGGTGGGTCTGTTTCTTTCCTTTCAGAACCATTCGAGGAAGCAACGTGAGTATTCTCACTCCTTTAATAAACACAGATTATTTTCAAATTTCTGAGAGAGAGATAAGAATGGCTGATGAGGAATGAAATCTTTCAATAATTCTCTTCTCTTCTCACCAGTAGGTGGTATTTCTTTGTGTTCAGGTTGAAAGCGATATTGTCAGACTTTCTCCTAGTTTACATACCTCTATCTAAGGTGCTGAGAGAATTCTGGAAAGTCATGCAAACCTGGTATGCACATAGATTTCTCTCAAAAAATTTTTTCTGTTGCTTTATTGCTCTATTGCTCATCTGAACACAACTACTGACTGGTGAGAGGGAGTTGCTCATCATCTCCAGTATTTTAGAAGGCTGATGTGAAGTCTGTCTAAAGATCCCAGATGGAAGATTTTAGCCTTCTAAGTCATTTGAATCTGGTTTGTTCTAAACTGGTATAGTTTCAAATATATAAAACCCTAGTTTTCAAATAACTTCTCCCTTTGAATGGCACCTCATCTACACTGGTCAGTTTCAGTAAATGGCTATCTCAGAAAGTAATCTGTATATTTTAATTAAATCTTTCAATATTACTCAATCTTTTTTCTTTTTTGCAGGTTTGCCTTAGAAATCAATGAACTGAGTGAACCAGTTTTCACTGACTCAGGTATTCACTTGATTCTCAGGACAGGATAAAGCAATCACAAAGTCCAAGAACAAAGTTCATATTTAAATAATCATGTAGACTTGCTAATATTACAAGACAATGCCTTAACTTTGAAGCTTTCATTTGGCTACTTTTACCTTACATCATAAGTATTGGTTGAAGTTGTGTATGAACTAAAACACAAACAACCAGTTTGGAAATCTGCAGTCTAGATGAATAAAAAAGGTAACCATAACATCCACAGGGATGAAAATATTTTGTACATCATGTTTAAGGATAGTTCTCTTTTCTAAAACACAATTTGATGGTTGAACTTAACATGTCAAAATGATCACTTCTTCAAAGTATTTCTAGCTTTCATTATTATGTTCCAGAAGTGATCATCCTATAATTTTCCTTTTCACAAGGCAAAAATATAATAAGTAAACTTCCATTAAATTCTAGGTTACTTTATACCAGTCCATCAGATATATTCGCCTATAAGCCGAGCGATTTTTCCAACAAATTAAACTGAGAACAGGTAAATTCTCGCCAAGGTAGGGGGTTCGGCTTATAGCCGAGTATTTTCGCCAAAAAAAATTTACGGGTACTTAACAAGATTCGAAATTTGACAACAGGAAAAACTGGCCAATCAGAAGCGGTCATTCCCACGGTTTGTGTGTGCAACACGATCTGACAGATATCAGCTGATCGAAGCTTTTCATTGTTTTAAAGAAACGAAATACTTACCTTGACTCCTCTGCTCTGAAAACCAGTCCAGTAGTGTTTGATCCAATTCAGGATACTTTGGCGAAAAGCAGCCCATCGGCTTTTCAAACCATTAAACAGGTTCGCTTGATCTTTTCACGACGCACCATCGATTCAACCTAATAATAACAGCTAATCAGCACTTGGGTAGATATCATGCTAAGCCAGTTCAAACTGATGGTAAAACCAGGCAAACTGTGTCAAACAAGTTTTGTGCTAATGATTGGTTTTAGTTTTGTAAAACCAGGCAAACTGTGTCTAGTGGTGATTGGTTTTAGTTTTGTAATGGATTAGTCATGTGTATTATCTAAGTTTTCTTCACAAATTATGGAGCAACATAAACCAAAGGCATGATGATCCTACATAACTTTTGACACCCAATGGGCAATTTTTTTATTGATCTCCTTGTTGTGACTAACTAACACTGTGACTACCAGTAACTAATTGATATTAAGCTGATAAAGTAAATGAGAGGCAGAAGTGTAGAATCTTTATTATTAGGAGGAAGAATTAAATGAGCTTAAAATTACTTCTAGGTGTCAATGAAGTTTAAAATAAAAACTACAGTTATTTACATCAAAGTACATGAACTGTAAGGTGCATGGAAACAATCCACCTCTTAACCAATATGGAAACAGATATTGATTATGTCACTTTATGGTGATTGAGTGACACCATGAATTCAGTTTGTGGCAGATATTTTTTATTACCTTTAACACCTTTTTATTACCTTTTATTACCAGCTTAACAAAGCAGAGATGTGATGGTCTGTAATTGGTAGTAGAATACTGGAACTAGTTCAATAAGTGTAGCCTTAAGAATTCATATTCTAGAGTAACTCAGATGTTCTGTTCTAGTTTTTTTTTCCTTTGCATGTTCAAAAAAGTGGGATTCTATTGGATACAAGTAAAACTGAGCCAACTAACACAGAAGAGATTCAAGCCATGCAAAAAACTATTAAAAAAAGCCTTGCCATTAGTTTCTGGCCAAGTTGGTGCAAATTTCATGCAAGGGGGGAGATTCTACCCGAGGGGTAAGATTCCTACCTTAAAATAACCTACTATGCCTTGCCCCCCTCCCCTGATAGAAACAATACACAAGAAAATTTCTTGATGCTGGATTTTTACCACAAAATAATTCTTGACAGAAAAGTAGAGATGGTAAGTTTTGAGCTCGGTGAAGAATTAAGAAAGATGTTTTTTCGTCTTGTCACGAGCGTGGGACAAAGAAAAAATTCTGAGTCCCCATGAGGAATCGAACCTCAGACCTTTGGATTTGTGCTCCGTTGCTCTGCCACTGATAAAGGTAGAGCATCAGAGTGCAAATCCGAATGTCTGAGGTTAGATTCCTCATGGGGACTCAGAATTTTTTCTTTGTCCCACGCTTGTGACAAGACGAAAAAACATCTTTCTTAATTCTTCACTGAGCTCAAAACTTACCATCTCTACTTTTCTGTCAAAAAACATTACGCTATTGACATTACTGATCCTAGCAGTATGCAGGATGCATGTCATTAGAACTTCGTAGGAGACCCTGCTCACCGAAGAGTCTTTGTGGCTCAGTGGTAGAGCATCAGAGCACAAATCCGAAGGTCTGAGGTTCGATTCCTCATAGGGACTCAGAATTTTTTCTTTGTCCCATGCTTGTGACAAGACGCAGAAACATCTTTCTTTAAATCTTGTGGACCAAACTTATTATATAACTTGATTGGACTCTTATCTTTCTCCTTAAAAACACAATCCACCCAACTTGACCCAACAAACATCTTGGGATAGTGGGTAGGCCATGGGCAGGGTGGTTCTTTCAAGTATTCACTGCTAATAGTAAAAATCTCAAATAAGTGAAATTTGTGTCTAGGGAAGGAGGAAAGAGAGAAAAGAGAACTAAGACTTATTCTTGGCTAACTTAAAAATGTATTTTCACCTGAAGTGGTCTCACTTGCACTAGCCACAAATTTCATACTCTGAAGATATTGTAAAATTCCTTCACTGTTTCCATGAATTTTTAGACAACTTTCAGTCATGGCTACAGTCAAGAAGACTGTTTCAGAATATTGCAAACATTATCATTAAATAGCAGTGTGGTTGTATATCTCCTTTGTCATTGTTACAGGGTTTTCATCGGGAAATGTCATGGCAGGAGAATAACGTAAAAGATCAGAATAATTTACTACCCATCTGAATGAAAAGTAATGCAAACCATCTAAATGTAGCTGCACAATTCAGAATGGCTGTGTACCTACAACAATCCTTGGTTATTTTTTACTCTCTAAATGATCATTACTGCCTAAGGATCTTCTTCATTTTCTGTATCTTTATCTGCTCCTCCTGTTTTAGTTTCTTTCAATTTCTCCTTGTCATCAGATTCTGTTTTTTGACGTTTGGATTCTGGTTCTGGTTCAGATGCAGTATCACTCTTCTTTCGTTTTGATTCAGCTGCTGCTTCCTTTTTACCTTTTTGTTCCTTTCTGAACACTATAAGGCAAAAAACACAAACTCAGAAAACATCACAGGTAAAAATTTACACATTTCAAACAACTACAACATGAGTTGATAACAAGAGCAGGGAATTAATGGAAGACATTTATTATCATGACTGCCATCCAAGAGTAATACACAAATAAATTCTTAAATCCTAGATTTTCATGGTTCACACAGACTGAAGAAAATTTACTCATAACAAAGATAAGTAAACTTTTTATACAGCTCAAGCAGTTTGTCCACCAGAGTTAATCTCTGTTCCTGTGCAATAAATGGCTTTGAGACAATATCCTCCTCTGGATGAAGTGCTGGTCCACTATAGATTACCCCCACTGTTTAAAGAATTCCTTAGTAATACAGTATTCCAAATTTAGTTTAGATTTTCCTTTTTATGTCAATTGATGTTTAAACCAATGACTTTAATGTTAATAGCATTGCTTTTTTTTCTTTATTTGTGATAATTTTTCTCTCTTCACTTAAACAAAGAAGCAACAAAGAAACATCCATAGCAGAAATCTTCCAATTCTCAGGTGTTTTAAATAAAAATTAAAGAAGCACTCACAAGCTAAGCTTTCTTTAAGAGGTTTAATGAACTGCTCAAATTCCATTTCCTCTAAAGCTTCAAATACATCAGGTGCAGTTAATGTCTTCCTCTTCTGTTTTTGTGCAAAGTTATTTGCACTAAGATGAAACAGAAAAAATCAACATTAAAAAAAATTGGTAGTTTTTAACCAAGCTTAGACTTTTTAACTCTTTGTATTATTGGTACATACACCTCGCAGATATTCTCCATAAAGAAACATATGGCAAAAGTATTTATACAGGAGTGAAACTAATCACAGGCTGATACAAGTAATATTAAATGCACCAAACTAATCAGATTTGATCAGTGTTAGTTCTATACCAGTTTTCTGGAAGTTAACCGCATGATGAATTCTGCAAAGCTCTCAACCCTCCCACTTTCTTTTCTATGCCCTCAAAAAAAAATTTAGAATAACTTAGACTTATTACACACCATGATGTAGCATAAAGAACAAAGACGCTGGCAGCTTTTCCTATGGCAGTTCTGGCTTCTTTGGATATGTTAACATTTTCAGGGAGCTGGAACAGAGAGAAGTTCATTAGTTTGCAATCTAGGACAGTGCGATCACTTTCGCATCACTTTCAGCTATTTTCAGATTTTAGCAAAGTAGTTGCGACTGGAAATGTCCCACATTATAATGTTTAAGGTTAATAATCTTACAGCATCTTTTGCCAGGCGTGAAATAACTGCGTTAGGAAGATTCAAATCTTCTGGTTTTTCTGCCATTGTTCAAAGTTCTGAAAAAGAACACAATCGCGAGACATCAACAACGCTATCGTCTAATAAAGGGCTAGTCTAAAATTTACAGCTACTTGGATCAACAAATCTCATCCCTTTGACACCGTCAGAATCGTATGTATATTTTAACAAGTAACTCGACAGAAACTTGGTAATTCCGAAAAAAACTGATAAATTCAGGTATCATTAGTTCGGCTCAAAAAGGGTCACGAGCCTTGAATTTCCTTACAGATCAGAATCCCACTTGCAAATCCTTCTCTCTCTCTTCTTCGCTTTTCCCGCGAATCTTAAACCTCGAGACTGCAGCCACAAATTAATACTTGATCCCATTGGCTTAACTCGAACAGATCTGCCCAATGAAAATTCTTCTTATATATATAAGAGAGCCCGAGGCATCGTAATTTTGTCATCCAGCGGGTATTAAAACATGCGTGGAGTCTGCGCCAATTGAGCGTGTCCAATCCGTTCTCTTCCTTCCCTTCCCAGCTCCATCTCTATACTGTATTTGTGTCAATATTCACTTTAGAATCTGTCTTTTCTTGATGATAATCGGTGACGGCTGGTATTTTTGAGACCGGTGATAATTTAAATCTCCTCTAGGTAGGCAACCTCTTAAATTAGCTATGCCAAAAACTACTATTTATTATTTCATTTCTATAAAAATAGCGTCCCAAACTTGTTTTAATAGATCATCTCTAACATTTTCATCTTTCAGTATCTGGAATTAACTCAAGCATTCTCCTCGAACTTGAACAACAGAGGAAATAATATGAGTAGCTCAGAAGAGGTGTCGTGGATTTCTTGGTTTTGTGGTCTTCGTGGTAACGAGTTTTTCTGCGAGGTACTAGCCTCAAGTAGTGTCACATTTAATAAGCTTTTTTATAATTACACCACAGGGAGACTTGAATCCGATGTAATTCGTCCTGAATAGGACATACGCTACAGCATATATTGTGCTTATTGTGCTTACTTGTTTGATTTTGTCACATCATTTGATTTGAAGCCTCAGTACTAATTTGTGAACAGCAATAAGAAATTTAGGCCATTGTGAGTTATTTCTTGTAACCTTTGTCTGTAAATCTGTCATTTATAATCTGCAGTTGATGTTTGTAATGAAACTACTTTACCTTGACTACCATCATGTGCAGAGATTTCCCTATAACCCCAAATTGTTCTTAAACAAACTGGTAGTCCCAAAGGCAATCTATTGTTTTCTATTATCTAACAACTGTTAACCTCAATGAGGGAAAAGTTTTATACAGAAATCTTGCCCCATCAGGCCATCAGAATGTGGTGAGCAAAATATGAGGTGGTGGGATCAGCAATTTCATAAAATAGGAAAAGACTGCTGTCTTCTTAAAAAGTTGGTTGTATTTAACAGGTTTTCCCAAGGCAGTTACTAAACTAGATATTAGTGACACTATAAGTTTCTAAAATTAGAGGAAGGGATATTGATATTAACAAAGAAGAGTCATGTCTTACACAACTGAAACCTCATTTTAGAAAATTCTTGATATAATTTAAGGAAAATGTGTATAACATCCTTTACTTTACAAACATAACCAATGATCCATCCACAGTGCCCCAAGTTGCCATCATTTTGGCATCTAAATATACACTTATGATTGCAATTTTGCACCCTGTACCATATATAGTCTGGGTTTATCCATTATCTCTGTTGTAGCACAAGTCATTTCATCACTGCCACACTCAGGTCATCAAATTAAGGACTTTTGCTTCAAATTTTGTTGCCAAATTTTGGTATATACTTGCTGTACCAATCTAAAACAGTTGCAGCTTGAGGAACTGTGTAAATTCTGGTTTTCAGTTAAGTTGGTATTCTCAGTAAAAATTTTTGTAACTACTAACAACTCTTCCCTGATAATGACCTCCACTATGGTTGTCAAAGTGATTTTCTGATTGTTTATTGCACTGCTCCTATGTCATTGATTTTTAAAACTATTTACTGTCTTGCTTAGTACTGTGACAACTCTTTTTTATGCAAGGTTGACGAAGATTACATCCAGGACAAGTTTAATTTAACTGGATTAAATGAACAAGTGCCACATTACAGGCAGGCCTTGGACATGATACTGGACATGGAGCCAGGTTGGTGAAATTATTTTATCACCAACATGTACACTTCAGCTTTGCCCTGATGGTGAAATTTGATCAGTCAATAGGTTTTACCAAAATTTCTGTTGTAAACAGTCTTAAAATTATTAATATAAATGTATATTATAAGGTCAGCTAACTCATTCTTGGAAAGGATGATTTTTATAACTAAGAGCAAATCATCAAATTTTCCTGGTGAACACTGCATCCCAATGACCAAAATGAATCTTGGAAAGTCTTACCTTCTCCACCTTTAAAACTTGCGTGAAATTTTCTATGTGTATATGAACAAAACAAAATTGTACTGCCAAAAGATCCACCTGTAGAGTCAGGGCTCATATTAAGAGAGAATATAAACTAATCATGATGTGTTTTAAATTTTTTATTGTTTTGTCAACAGATGATGAATTAGAAGATAATCCAAATCAAAGTGATCTGATTGAACAGGCAGCAGAAATGTTATATGGTCTCATTCATGCTCGTTATATATTAACCAACAGGGGGCTTGCGCAAATGGTAAGTATTGTAAGTTGTGCTGGCCATCTAGTCTTACATAGTATTTTAAATAAAAAGATTGTGCTAAGTGCTTGGTTTAGTTTTTCCAGTATGATTACAATTTCAAGAATATTTCAAATGGTGAGTGCTTCTCATATATCAATTGTTTTTACATAAAAGTGTTTCCATGACTTTTTAGTACTTGAGATATAATATGTGTTTTTTAAAACATATCATCATCTGAATGCAGGGAGATTGAAAACAAGTAGATTAGGCTCCTTGCATCATCTAATGAATTTCCACCAAAGGCAAAGTGAATATGGTCAAATAATCTCATTCGAGAAGTCAAGGGATTACATGTATACAAAAATATTTTCTGAACCTCAGGAGGATAATTTGTGCAAGTTCCAAGGTTATTTTACAGGCAGAAGTATTAGAAAAAAATGCACGAGTAATTTTTGTATAAATTGTGTCTCTGTATATTGATAAACTGTGTGCGGAGTGAGTATTATTAAGTTATGTAAGAAATGACGTAAGCCAAGAGTTGTCAACAAAACCTTGTACATGTACCACCTGACCAAACCTGCTGGCCAGTCTGCCTTTCACCTCATTTTACTAAAAGTGCCATGGATGAATCATGCCATTATTGAAAAACAATCAATCAGAATTTGCAGAAAGGTTCATGTAAGCTTGGCAGAATGCTTTGGAATGAATAATATCTGACTTATGTACAGCCCTGTAATCTGTGACCAACCTTAACTCTTTCATAAATTGTGCTATTCTACTAGATCTTAATAAACCATATGTTTAATGTATTTTGGGTGCCTTGTAGGATTATCATCACAATTCTCCTTCTGACCACTCTGCAAATTGCTGTGAACATACTGAATGCCAACTTAACTTTGCATGTTCTTAAACACAGCTTGAAAAATACCAGAATGGTGATTTTGGACACTGCTGTCGAGTGTACTGTGAAAATCAGGCAGTCTTACCCATTGGTAAGTTCGCAAAGTTGAGGCTTAGGTATGTGTAGTATGTTATTTTTCTCATTTGCTTCAGTATGTTATCATGTTGTCAGAGCATTCTTTGCAAAGCTCACTTTCTTTTGTCATCCATAGGTTTGTCTGATGTTCCTGGGGAGGCAATGGTCAAACTCTACTGTCCAAAATGCATGGATGTTTACACACCAAAATCATCTCGACATCATCACACAGATGGAGCATACTTTGGGACAGGTTTCCCTCACATGCTGTTTATGGTACATCCTGAGTACAGACCAAAAAGACCAAACAACCAGTTTGTTCCAAGGTAAAGTGTTGTAATGAGTGTGCAAGACTGTTTAGATGAGTAACAATATTCAGAACCTTGAGGGAAAAAAGCAGTAACTACAAATTAAACTGTGTTTCACTTTGAAAAAACTAATAAACCAATCACATAAAATTTAAAAAATATTTTCTCAAGGAGAAGGGTAGGCTTTGTCAGTTTATTTTGGTTTTGTTCAAGTCAGTACTTCTTACCTTTTTTTTTTCTTTGTTTTTTTTTGTTAGGTTGTTTGGATTTAAAATTTCACCCATGGCTTACCAGATACAGGAGAGAGCAGCAGCTCAGAGAGGACGGTCTGCATCAGCACGTCCAAGATCCACAAAACCTCATTACAAATAAGAACAAGTTATTTTCTATCCTACTCTTTCGTTTTAATATTTCCTAGTTTAATGCCATTTCAAGTTCTCAGATTTGAGGATAAATGTTTTAAAAATGGTTAATTTGTTAAAGTGCTCAATCTTCTTGTAACTAACAGTATATATAGTGTTCTCCCTTTTTTTAAGCATGACAGGTAAAACAAATTTTCAGACCAGTAGAGTAGTCCTTTTACCAGGTACATTTCAAGAATTCCAAGTGATTTTAGGCTGTAATAAGAGGTACTGCAGGCAGTAAATTTCACTGGTTACTACCTGAAAAGGAGAACAATTTATATACAGATGCTTGAAATTTTTATTTGGTCTCTTTCCCCTTTTGTGTACTTTATAAATAGGTGTGGTACAGTTAAGAGGGTAAACTTAGGCTCAATTTTTATCTTGCTGAAAATAATTGCTGGTGTTTAATTCTGCAATTAATACTGTAGATTCTTCCCCAGATAAAGTGAGACACTTCATTCATGCAGTTCTTGCCCAACAAAAAAGCCCCATCTATTGGATATATGTCCTGCTCTGTGATTTTTGTAAATCATATATGGAGATTGTATCTCTGCTATAAAACTTGGGGTTTGTGTTGTATTAGATTGTTCCCATCAGTTTCTGGTTTAGCATAACCCTCACAAACAGTTCTTTCTGTTTAGTGTTCAGAGTACATTTTTTAAAATTATGTTGTAGTGTTTTGGCTCCTCGTTAACAATTTAGTTTCCATGCATGTGTGTACAGCTCTAAAGAAAAGTGATAAAACAGGCTGTCTCAGTCTATGTTATTTCAACTTACAGCTTTGTGTTTTTTTTAATGTACCATAAACAAAAATTAAAGTTCCTGTTGGGCTGATGATTTGTGTGAAATACTTGGAGTTGCTATAGTTTCAATTGTAAAACACATCCAAAAATGTAGGCCTGATTGGAAGGATGAACTTTGCTTGAGCCAAACTTAATAGCTTTTATTAAAAATGTGGAAAGACTGGGAATCAACAAAGAACAGCTTCTTAAATTTGGATTGCCTGGGAAGAACCTTGGCCCTGGAATGACTTTGAATTGGATGAAATAAGCTGAACCAATTTCATGAATTATCATGATGTATTTTTCAATATTGATTGGTTTTCTTGGAACTGGGAAGGGCTAATGAAGTTTGATGTCTGAATCAACAAGAGTACTGCTTTGAATTTGGGTGAGCCCAAACCTGAATTTAGTTCAGCTAATAAAAATGTCGACATCTTAGTGATTGGCTAAGTGATACCTTGAATGGCAGAGCATACCAAGGAGTTATTACTTTAGGGAGTCATATTAAGGCTCCTTGGTTCCCTAGTTTAGTTTGTTGCTAAAAACAAAATTTTATCTTTAGTCTGTGGGAAGGGATTTTGAAGATCTGAAGTGGATAGCATAAACAGGGATACACATGGCCTCTTATCTCTTCTTACACTCACTTCCTTCACACTCATAGTCCCTGAAGTTATGGAGAAAGGGGGAACGTATCTAAATTAATGATCAAGCAAACTGAAAAATCAAACATGCTAATTGCCATCTAGTAAATGGATTCAAAGTTTAAAGTTTGAACAAACTGAACTGCAGATACCATCTGAATCATATCTGAGTCATTTACAAAACAGGCAGTCAACAGACTCATTAAGTACTAGAAAAAATGTTTATCGTTTTCTTGTCTGGTCTTCTGTCATTTCTGAGACACCTACTAACATACTGTTCCCTGGTTGTCATATTTGTAGTTGCTGACTGAAGAAAGTGACATCCTAATAGAATTTTGCTTTAACAAAATACAGGCAATGTCGCTTAATCCATTACATTAACATTATGCTGTGTGAGTTCTTTGAACTGAGAATTAGTTTGCCATTCAAATCCATGTAAAAAGCACTTTTATGAGTTGTAGCGAACTAAAATGTCTCAAAACAGACCATTTTACAGTTGTGTGCTTGGTTGCCAAGCCTTTGAACAGGAATGAGGCTAAGGGTGACCTTGTTATGATACAAACCTTGCTGCTTTTCAAATGCAAATTGCTTTGTTATCATGCTAACTAGATACTAGTCTCTATCATAACAAGGTCACCTTCAGCCTCACTCCAAATCAAAGGCTTGGCAACTAAGTACACAACTGTAAAATAGCCTATTATCAAATTCATGGGAATGAAAAATGTCTCTGCTTACAAAGCCTATAAATAATTTTACAGTTTTTTCATTTCAAGAGTTTCCTGTGTAGACTTTTTGTTAGTTCAGCTTGTTTTCAAGCTTTGTTTTGGGCTGCTTCCTTTCTTGTGGCATCTTGTAACAGTGATGTATCAACTTCTTCTGCCGGCAGTTGAACATATCTGACTACTGATCCTCTAATGAAGCAGTTTTTAACTGACAACTAAAAGGGGAAAACAAATTTAAGCTAAAACTGTCATACCATCACCAGATAGTTATTAATTAATTTATTGATAAATAAACTGAAAAGCATGAAAAACTCTCATTGTTGAGATACTTGGTGACGTGCTGAAATTCAAATTATAGACATGTTATAATATTTCATGGAATTGCTCTTTGTTCAGTACTGTGTATATTTTAATCATAATTGATGACTCCCTCTATTATTGTTCAGCAGAACTACCCAAAGAAAAACCAAGTCTTTGATCTAAGACTAAAACAATTGATAGAAACTATATATACATACCATATGAGGATACTTATCCGGGTCTGTCAGGCTTATATCTGTTAATTTGATGTTTAGAAACTGCAGTAAAAAGAGGATTACATTAAAAAATTATTTCAGATTAGGCACTACAAGATATGCGAATTGATTTCAGTGGTAGAGCTAAACATTCTCTGTACAACTGCACCTTATCATACTCAAGACAATAAAATCATAAGGTTACCTGATCGACCGAGTCTAACGTTCCATGTACACTGTCAAAAAAAAGAAGTGTAATGTTCATTTTCGAATCTCGCGTTCTGCAAATTGATTACTTTAGTTATAATGGCCCACCTACAGAATATGATAGAAATTGAAAATATCTCAATAATTGTATTGCAGCACGGCAACTGAAAGATTCTCGAACACATTTGCAGCTGCATTGTACCGCAATCCGGCCGCTATAGATCTGATGAGAGCTATTTGTTTTACCAATAAGACAGATCAGAAGTCTTGTGCCATTCATTATATAGATTAAGGTCCTGAAACACCCGAAAATTCCTCATAAAAATGCCTCACGACTTCTAAATCTTACACTGACCTAACTTTGTTTTAAACAAACCTAAAGCACTCACGTGCGAAAGACTGTCAGTTAAACTTGTAAATTATTAGCAACACCTTCCTATACCTGAGGTCATTCTTCAGTTCCACAATAACTTCTTTCCCAACCAAAGACTTGAAAAATGAGTAAAAAAGCTGAAAGAGAAGATAAAAAATGTGAGCATTTGTTCTCAAAAAACGTCCTCAAAACGACACTATTGCTCACCATTTTGGAAATTACTATGGCAGTGATGACTACGTTATGTACGGTATCATATAGTGTATTGCGACCGCTGTTCATAAGCAGGCTCAGGTTACAGAGAAGGATTGTGGGATACTGCATGGCACAAAAACTGAGACTGAGTGATTGCGTTTTGTGAGGAAAATTATAACTATAAAAAAAGAAAATTTCCCTCCTCCGTTTTCAGAGACTGGAAAAATGAATACAGAAAGACCTGTGCAACAATATTTTAGCCCTTACGCTTTTAACGGAGGGTAAGTAGATCGTGGATTATCGAAAATGTGACAAGGTTTAATTGGAAACCTATGATCTGAATGAGTCAGCAGCATCAAAGCTTCTATAGTTATGAAAATAAGTTTAATTGTACAAACTTCTTGACTTTCTTATGAGAAACAAATTTCTCCAATGCAGCTTGATTATTCCGTTTGTTCGCTAGAAAATCTGGTGTGATACAAACTTCTTTGCAGCTTTCGCTCCTCGGTGAGCTTTGGTTAGGTTACATGTGAGCTATGATCATTTGTCGCAATTTTTTTCCAGTGTCAATCAGGTAGACCCTTAGTATATTTTTTAACTTATTCGAAGTGTTTTGCAAGTTTCCATTAGTGCCTAAGACAGAGAATGGATGGATGGTGTCTGGTTAATTCACCAGCTCAACAAACTCGCCAGCACCTAACTCACCGCCACCGAGAGTCAAATCACCACTGGTGGCAATTTGACTCAGACATCATGTGTAACGTGTTGTATGAAACTTACATCAAATGAGTATCCTAGGAGAGACTTAAAATAGTGCCAGAATCAAATTGCCACAGGTGGTGATTGACTCTCAGTGGTGGCAAGTTTTGTAGTGGGGAGTTTGTTGTGGTGGTGAATTGAGCATAAACTGAATGGACATGTATCTTGGGAAATCATGATAGGTGCACAAAGTTTTATTCTTAAATATTAAATTAATTTCATATTTTATCTTGGTTTTCAACTTAGGACTGTACTTGCCATTGCTGGAGAGGATTTTTCTGTCATTGCATCAGACACAAGGTTAAGTCAGGGCTTTTCCATCCACACCAGGGATAGTCCAAAGACTTACAAACTGTAAGTTAAGTGTTGTAATAATTCCATTTTAATGTGCAGAACAATTGTCATTGAAAAGCTTATCACTGCTACCCTTTTATTATCTGCCAACAAAAATAATGTGAAATCTGTATTTGCACTATATTTCTTCAAACAACACAGCCCTTTGGCTGGCAATTAGGTTTATTTTACTAACTTGGATTAGAAACATGATAATTCTGTTTCATTTTCATCTTCTAATCAGCACTCATATATACTTGTTATTTTATGGGGAACGGGCGAGCAAAACCATCATTACTAGTGAAAGAATTGACACCTGATCAAACCACAGAAAATGCCTTGAGTAGTACTATAGTATGGTACACTATTTTGAAAAAAGTCAGTTAGATTTTAAGATTATTGTAACACTGTTATGGTATTAGAAATTTTAGTAAAGTAGGCAATCCTAAAATTGAACTTAACCTCTGCAACTCATCTTATACATCTTGTTTTTCTGGAACTCATTTTTGTACCTGTGGCTTAGAAACAGGAATGAAGAATTTCAAAATCTGATCCAAAGGAGCTGCATGTTCCTTATATGTAATATAAAAGGGGTTAATGCTATGCATGTTAACTGTGTTTGTTAATCATGTTTTTGTATGGTTAGTACCAATTCCACAGTTCTTGGCTGTGCTGGATTTCATGGTGATTGCCTTACACTGACCAAACTCATTACAGCAAGACTTCAGGTATGTTAACTTGATGTAGAGTTGTATGCTTGATTGTGTACATTGCACAGAAGCTTGTGTGAAAGGCAAATTACTCAATAATTGTTAGTAGAGATTGAGTGCTCCAGATTGGGCATATAAGGTCATATTGTAATTTTCTATTCCACTTTTCCCCCCTTGAGTGTTGAAATGTGTTTGTTCATCCAGAGTGATTTTTCCAAAGACAGTGAAAAAGACCTATTGTTTTGACAATGAAAATTCTAGTGTGCTGTGTCTCCTTTCTGTAGAAGAAAAAAATAAATACTTATCAAACTTGCACTAATGATTCTGTCTATTACCTCTAGATGTATGAACATGAGCATGGAAGCAAAATGAGGTATGTAAGGTAGTTTCAGTTTGGTTGAAAGAAGTTGTCAGACTAGCACTCTAAGCTGCAATCATTTTGGTCATAATGACATGTAGAAAAATTTGGCATCTAAATGCTCATTTATTCTTGGCTTTGGCCTCTTTCTTCATTTGTTAGTGTTAGGTCTTAACTAAAGATGTCTTTTAAGCCTTCAATACAATTCTTGGTGACTCAGCTAAATTTGAATTTATTTTCGGCAACCATTTTTGTGGCTACTGCCCCCTATAAAGGGAATAGTCTATATGATGAATTTTGGGGACCAACTTTGGAAAACCTTGAGCATGAGCACTGTTTGTGTGTATTTGTGAACTGTGGAGATGGATTAAGAGGGATTCTTAGTTAAGGATGGGTGCGTAAATAATATAAGATATATATTGATGTTAATTGTTTTCTTTTTTATGCTCTCATACTTTAGTTGTCCAGCCATTGCTCAGATGTTATCAACTGTTTTGTACTACAGACGCTTTTTTCCATATTACACTTACAATATTCTGGCAGGATTGGACAATGAAGGTAAAGCATTACTGCCCATTGAAACAGCTTATTTTTGTCACTGATTATGGGAAAGGTTGTGTCCTGATTGGTACAGTGTTATGTCCTGTCTTACCTGTAATTATTACAGACTTGGTGAGTATTATACAGATCAAAGTATTGGTTTCTAAAATGACTTCCACTGGTCTTTGAGTTTTCCACGAAAAAATGAATGAAATGAAAGAAAATGTATGACTATGCTTAAATAGTTCTCCCTTCATGCAAGACAAAAGTTGCTGAGTAATCACGTGACATCACAGGTGTCATTTTTTGCAGCAAGTAGCAGATTTAGTTACAGAAGAAGTGTTCAATAAAAGCATCAAAATCCACTCTTTATTTTGGATGATGAAACATAGATTGATGATCATTATCTTTTTCTATCAGGTAAAGGTTGTGTTTTCAGTTTTGATCCAGTGGGTTCCTATGAAAGAGAAAGTTACAGAGCTGGAGGTTCTGCTTCAGCTCTTCTACAGCCATTACTTGACAATCAGGTAAAACTTTTTCTTCTCTTTGAGGATTTTCATTTTTTTTTTAATTCTCTACAAAGCAAGCAAAATTGTTTGCCATGTAATCAATAGTCTCTGCTGATTCATTAAATTAATGATTTATATTTATGCAGTTTCATTAGTTTTTAGTTTTACCATCTTTAATGTAGAATGGATCAAAATTTTCATTATTAAAAGTGACGTTTCATAAAAACAAAATTTTTTCTTAATTAATTTTAACTCATGTACAAGTTTGCAATTTTGTTTATCTGTTTTTGCTATTGTTTTCATCAAGATTGGTTTCAAAAACCAGCAAGGAGTAACTGAAGCTCCATTGAGCAAAGATAAAGCAGTTTTTCTGGTAAAGGATGTATTTACTGCTGCTGCTGAGAGAGATATCTACACTGGAGATGCAGTAATTATCAGTGTTATCACTAAAGATGGCGTAACACAAGAAGCCTTTCCACTGAGAAGAGATTAATGATTGTTGTAGTACACATTTTTTTGTGCGAGTCAGCTTGTGTCTAAAAGTGTACTGTAGATATGAGCTTTTTATCTTTTCGGCTCTCTATATTACACTTGATTCAGTGCACTGGTAGATGCGCTTGTTGTGTGCTCTTAAATGCTAAAAGAAAAACATGGTATGATCTCACTATGTCCTAGGAATAGCTCGTTACTTATGGCAGACAAGGCTCAACCGTCTCCTCTGTGTAAAACTGGTGGACAATAAAATCACAACTTTTCTGCAAATTTCTTTACTTATTTTTTTATCTAATTCGTGCGATTGTGTTTTTCCTCTCTCTCAAATTTAGAGAAACGCCTCAGAGAAAATAACTGTAGTGTTGCTTTGTGTACCTGTGGACAATTTCGGAGCAGACTTTCTGCATGAAATCGCAGAAATGGGGGGGGGGGGCAGATATGCAGATATCCAACTCAAAAGATATTCAAAGTTTCTCATGGAATCTTGCTGTTCTTAAAACTTGATATCAGGGTTGCTTTTGATCAGTGAAAAAACACTTTTGAGGGATCGACAACGTGAACATCATGATCATTAAAATGACTGCAACGAAAATGAGAATAACGTAGGAGATTAGCTTCGGCGAGTAATAATAGCAAATACGAATAAAATGTTTCCTAGGTTAACCACGTATAAACATTTAAATCCAACTGCGAATCTCGATTAGGATCGTTATTATGAATGGTAACCGCTTTTTCTATCGTAAGCAGTTTTCTGTGGATATGATATCCCTAGCTTACTTTGTTTAGTGTTCTTTTGCGCTACTACGATGCCATCAATGTACGTGAAAAAATCACCGCTTCTGGTTGGCCGAAAACGAGTGCATTCTCATGTAACACGAGTGCAAAATTGTAACGAGTGCAAATTAAAAATAGCGCGCGCACGCTTGCAAAATTTCGTCTATCTTGACTTTCTGTGATGTTCTTTAAATTTTTCAAAAACTGTGGGTTCGTGAAATTTTATTGTCTTTGGAAAATTTACACGTGCTTCTTAACGCCAGATTGCAATCAAAACCATGTTATGACTTGTACAAAACTACTAATTTCTCGCATCAGGTAGTTGACTATTGTTTTGCTGGTAAGTTGCTTAGTTCACCTCGGGAGAATTTTTAGCCCTGATAGTGTTCGAGTTTGCCGTATACTTGATACTGGCGGGCAAGTCTCATCAAAACACCTTTAATGGCTGACTGATTCTGAGACAACTTCCTCTGCTAAATCAAAATATAAAGACCTACACCATGATTTTCTTATCTAGCTCGCTAATGCGGACGTTAAAACAAGATTAGGTTCAGCTGTTGTATCAAGTAAATTTCAGTCAATAAATCACATCGGTTCTTTCTGTCATACGCCAAATTAACAGGTGCTAGCTCCAGTTGTACTTCGGGGAAACGACTTGGCAGGGAGCATGGACGGGCAAGGGATGCCTTCTGGGTAATTACACCTTCTTTGTGAGTCACCCATAAACTCACCCGGTTAGCGCCTTATTACACCAGTCAGGTACAAATGCAGATGCGACCAATTTGATTGGTCGAGGATTATCTGATATCCCTGTTTTATTTTTCGAAAATGTTTGGTTTAAGATTTACATTGCTTAGGGTTACTTAAGATCCAAAAGTAATAACAGTATCTATATGCTTCCTCCTGAATTCAATTTTGTTTGTTTTCGATCTGCTCCCTAAAATAATACATGGATACATAGTCAGCATGCATTCGTATAAGTGTGGTGATATTTCACTTCAAACTCAGTACAACAAATATGCCGCTTAAATCACAAACATCCTCTTCTCAGCTTGTATTGCTGTGTGGTTTCTTTTAATTAAACCTAACCAGGACTGTAAGGAAAAATTCAAAATGCTATTTTCTAAAATTCTTCCATTTGAAGGATAAATAATTGGACGGATTTTATACCTTGTTGACTGGCTGACGAAGAGTCTTACATGATTTGTTTTTTCTACTTCCGACAGTTTTCATCAGGTAAGCAGTTTTGGACTGCTTTTAAACTCATCCTCGCTTAATTTACGAAAATCAATCGCTAAAAAGATAAATAACTTTCATGCAGGATGGTCCAGGCTTGTTGTCTTCTTCGGTATCGTTGACGAGGTCTTCCCAATACCACAGCCGATATTCTTGACCAGCGGTCACCACCAATGGAGAAGTAAATGTTAAGACCAGCTCAGAAGAGTTGCCTGTGAATCCAGGAAGCCGGTAATAATTAGCTTTGTGATCTTCTGGGAAAACAACGTGGTCGTCCTTATCTGTTAGAATTGTGTCGATGAAGGAACCATAACCCCAGTTACTTTCATCTTCAGGTGTGCAGCTCACCTTACCAGAAATATGTACCAACCTGATAGAGTAGATTTTTCCGGCCATTGGTGTGAAAAACACCCCTGGCTTATCGCCTTTCCCATACATGCAAACATCCCCCGGTATTTCGACAAGCCATTTCTCTATAGGAAGGAAAAATTGACGACAATATGGTTGATTGTTACCAACACAACAGCGTACCTCTAAAACGTAAGACGGCTCCTCATTGGTTGAGCTCCATGATGTAATTGATCAACATGTCAATTTGATACAGTTGCCATAGGAACGGTAAAACATTCGATTTTCGCTATATGAACCGTCACTATGGATACATACTCCCAAAAACAAGCAGTACGTTCAAGTCAGCGGGCTTCTCACTGTTATAGCTATGTAGTAATTATCATTTACACCATATCAGACAATAACATTCTATATCATTGAATTACAACGTACTAAATGTAAAAGCTTTGAACGGTGCGTTTAAAATCGTCCTAATTTCCTACCACTTTTAATATTTGAAATATATTTTGACGACTGGATGGTTTAGTGTTGTGGCTTCTACCGGCTTACTTAATCACACTTACCACAATATTTTCCAGAGTAATTTGCTTGACACTCACACCAGAAATCATTCAGTTGATACAAGGCTCGACAGCTGCTGTTATTCCGACAAGGTTTTGATAAACATGGACTCTGTGAGGGAGCATTTGACATTTTGTTATACCTTCATGTCCATAAGAATTAACACGAGAATATAGGAGTGGACATAAACGATGCTTTATGATGTGAAACTTTTTTCCTTATACTTGAGGGTCTCAATCGGGTGATGGTTAAAGGTTAAGATTTAGCCAATTTTCGGCTAACGGTTGATAACTTTGAATTGTGGTCGCCATTAAAATTTTCACAGTTAATCTGTTTGCGATCAACGGTTAAAATTTGTCAATTTTAACGCCCAACAACTTCATTTTTGGCCGTTTTACGGCTAACGGTTAACCGCTTTGAGACCCTCTTACATCAAATGCATTAATTATTTGGCAAACAAAACGCACAAGATCCAGAAACTGTGGCGGTTCGCTGGATCTGAACAAACAGTTTTTCAACTTTGAGTTTGAAAAACGTTGTCAATGATTAAATGGGCCACCTTCTACGCCCTAACAAGGTTTCCTCCTCCCTTAAAAGAAGAAGTACATTTTGCAGAAATAATACAGTTTAGTATAGCTGTGTTTCAAAAGTATGTGTGTTGCGTTTGTGACTCCAATTCGAAACTATTCTTCAAATGTGCTAAAACGCCTTTTATTTCAAATCTTGTTCAAAAACCTGGCTGGCCTGTGACGTAGCAAGTCCCAGTCTTCATTTCGATCTTAGCTATATTTCTGCAGTAGCGATCTACTGATCTTATCACTCAAAGGCTAAACTTAAAGGCATTCTTCTCGCACTCAGATAACAAGGGCGGCAACTGTTTGTGAAACGGACTTATTTTCGAAAGTGCGGCGTCTGCAATCGAAATTTAGCATATTCAAAGACAATTCTCGAACGGTTAAGTTAATCTTTAAGGGGGCAAAACACGATAGGTTGCAATTTATCCAAAATTAACATTTTTATGAATGCTAATTAGGAAAAATAAGAGGCCAAAATGTTTCATCCTTAAAATTGTAGCTTTCTAGAAAACACGATAACGCTAAGGTACAAAAACGTCTCTCAGACTTATTAATATTTCCATCAGTGGAAAATATGCGAGTCTTGAAAAGCACAAGACAAAACATAATACTACGAAAGCCTCTTGTGTTCATGATAAACTTCCATATAGATCGCATTTCAATTAAAGAGATTGACTTCTTTTGAAATGGAGGCACTGTATATATCTAAATTTCGAAATAATTCTTCATCACTTTCTTCCTTTCCTAATTGCAAAAAATAGTTGAAGAGTGTGCTGGGCGTAAGGAAACTTAACGTTGATGAATCTTAAGCGAAAGAGAGAAAGGAACACCTGCTGGATTGATGATTGTCTGATTAAACCACCGAAAACATAACCACTGTGGTACTGAGCATTCATTAGAAATAGTCTAGAGTTTAGTTATCAATATCAACTCAAATTCAAAATTCCTGTTTTTCAACTAAAACATTAAAAAAAACCTCTAACAGGACAAGGCGTGCGTTTCATGCTGAAAACTACCACCCCAAAAATTCAAATTCTTGAGGGTCTTTAGGCGCTGAAAAAGTTAGTAGGGAACTTTCCCCAAATTCCGTTCACCCACTCTCAATTTTTTGTCCCATTGTCCACGAGCACATTTAGTTTAGATAGTAATAAGCTTGCATTGTAAAGCCGTTACAAGCTTTTATTGAAATTGCAGGCTTTTCAACCAAAGAAGTAAATTCCATATATGGTATTCATTTTAGCTGAGCGAAAGTTCAGGAAACAAACAATAAACAACTTGGTGGTTTTTAATAAGCTTGTAATTCATGTAAGCTCCAGTTGGGAAGTCTTGGTGATTAAGCTCACCCTAGGGGCTAATTCATTACTCTCTTGTGTTACCCTTATTGTGTGGGAAAAATTTAGGCATAAGTAAATTTGTTGTTGAAATTAAAAACGGTTCTTGGAACAGGATAACCCAAGGCAATGAGGTCAAAGAAGGTATCCTTCTAACGGGCAAAAATAGTATGCTGGGTTTGAGTAAAGAAGCAAAAGAATAAATACAATCACTTTTTGAGTTATTGAGGTCTAGACAAACAGTTTTGTTTCAGTCCCTGCTCTGTCGGTGTCGAGAGCCTTCTGCATAGCTCGGTCAATCAACTGGAGATATTGCGTAAGAAATAAAAAATAAATAGTACTATGTTAAATTCCGATTAAATCGCGGAAGTGATGTGGCTTGCCTCTGTAACCTGACTGGTGTCATCCTATATAGGGTAATTTATTATTATCAACTGCATGAGTTGATAACGTGAATTAGCCACCGTAAAGAGTTTAAAAGCTGACTTTTCGAGCGTTACCCCTTCGTCAGAGCGAATGGAACAATTGTGGGTTGTTAATGTGTTTATTTGCAGAAAATGGAGCTACGCTATTGGTGGAATGTAGTGACGAGGACTGAAACAAGAATAAATAAATTGAATGAAAAGCGCCCGTTGATACCGTGAGGATTAAGAGTGCTAATTTGAGAGATTAATTTTTGTTTTAAAGCTTTGCGGCTTTCCGAACTGCCGAGATGTAGGGAAAGGCCGCAAACTACCATATTCTGCTTAGAATGATTAGGGAGATTATAGTGTATAGCGAATGGTTTGGATGCGTCCTTGTCATTTCTTTCTACGTCGCGAAGGTGTTCTCAGAATCAGTTACCTAGTCGTCTTCCTGTCACCAATGTTTTTTGACTCTTCGCAATAAGTGCAAGTTATGCAGTAAATGACATTGGCGGAGGTGTACATAAACTGATTAGTGATTTTAATGGATCTCTAATGGCCTATTTACACGGTACGACTTTGTCGCATGCGACAAGCTTACGACAGGCTTACGACACGAATTGTTTCGTGTAAATCAAACCTACAACTCGCTTACGACTCTTAAGTCATGTCGTAGGCCTGTCGTAAGCTTGTCGCATGCGACAAAGTCGTGCCGTGTAAATAGGCCTTAAGGGTCCCGATTTTCTCTGCGTTATGCATGAAAGGACAAGTTTTGCATCCAGTGAGCGAGCGCCTTTGAAAGTTCCAGGTTGATTATAGCAGTTTGAAACGAATCCCTGACCAAAAAGTTGCCTATGTTTTTGTCACATTTGAATGAAATTGGTGGAGGTTGCAAAAAGATAGTACCAATCTCTGAATAGTTTTGAAGTAATTAACATTTTCTAGGAATTATAGATTTAATTGCGTGGTGGTGAGGGTGAAATGTGAGAGTAAATGGAATGCGATCAGTATTTTCCTTCTCAGCCGTTTGTAGTGCTGCCCGTATGTCAATCAATTTGTTGGACGCGGTAGTGGCCCGCTTGAACGACAGAAACAGGATAGCAACGTTCATCGAAAAACTGATTTTTCCGAAAAATCAGAGTCGTCACTACATAAACGATGAAGGCTGAAGGACTGTGAAAAAGGTATGGAATTCTTGACGTGTGATGGATGCGAAGATGAATAAAATTAGTAACTATGTTTTGGCCAAGGAAATTAAAGTCACGAAAAAGGTGTAGTCTTACTTTAGAGATCAACCAAAACGATTTTAAGACTGCTTAAGTCTTTACGGTGGCTAATTTACGTTTTCAACCCCCTTCTGCTATACTCTCCCACCGACGCAGCACCACAGTTTCTTTAGAAACTTACCCCTTTATTCCTTGACAGTGCGTTGATCAAACAAAAATGTTTAAGGGCCCGGAGACCTTCGTCATTGGGAATTGCAGCTGTTAAGCAAACCATACCTTAACACTGTAGTGATGGAAATGTGGACTTGGTTTAAAGCTGTAAGAAGCGTTATACTTGTCTGTGGGAAGCAGCTCACAAACATAGTTACCAGTGATATCAGGTTTAGCAACAAGGTTTGTTGAGAAACATCGCTGATCCTCTAAACATTGAAGCACACAATCTAATCGATCTCTGACAAGGCTGGATTCAAGCTCCACTATATCAAGAACGTGAAAAACATGGTCGATGAAAGAAGCGACACGAAACTTAGAATCACGTTGAAAACTTGTGGAGAATAAAGATTGTTTAAAAGGAAACACTATGTAAAGGAACAAAATATTCTGCGAAGTCAGCCTCGCCTGAAACATTGCGAATATGATTGCAGTTTGTTTAATGAATTCCGAATATAAAGTTACATCTCTTTATTATAAACTCATAATGCCACCTGTGCTATCAGTTATTATTTCAACCAATTACAATGTTATTTTAGTAATTTTCGAAACTTCTAGTTTTGTATCGCGTATCGTATGGTATACACGAGTAACTCTTTATTCCGACTGTGAAGCCCCAATCAATTCGAAACTTCTACATTTACCCCGGGGAACCCACAGGTATCTGAATGACGTTCCTGCCCAGGGGGTGGAGAATTTGAAGCAGAACTGACAAGTCTTTCCAGCAGAATGCACATGTTTTATCGTTAAATGTGTAGGTGTTTAAAGGTAAAAAGTTTACTTTCGCAAGCAGATGGCTTAGAAGAAAAGGTCTACGAGAAAGTTAGGGTCGTTAATCTTGCATTTTACAAAACAATTGACGATCGAATCCGGCGTTTGGGTGGAGAATTTAAGGATAATTTTGGCCGGGGGGGGGGGGGGGGGGAAATTTGAAAGATCCAATCTTAAAAAGTTAAAATGCCCAGGAGAGGGGGTGGGGTTGTTGAAGTTTCGAATTGATCGACGCAGAAACGGAGATTTCACGGAAAGTTAAGTGCTCGTTACGTGTTACATTATGGAATAAGTTTCCAGGTTTCGCTCATTCCGGCATAGTCATTGGTTTTAAGTTGGCCACATATACTTTGGCTGTTTGATGTTGATTGCCAAGTTCTTGATCTATCAATCAATGTACTGAAATGTGGAAATTCAACATATAATAACGCAGAGAGTTTTGTTAATCGTGTTTTTTTTTAAATAAATTATCTAGCTGCTTGAAATAAAGACTCCAGTGCATCTTCAAGCTAGAATAACAAAAAAATTTGTTTTCTTTTTGCTTATTAATTATTAACATAGCCCAGCTCAACCTCTGTCCAGGGGACACTTGCGCTGGTCCCAACGGTGTCCCTATCAAAATTTTTGGAGATACCTAAATATATTCTTAGTACTTTACTGCTATGGGGGTCACTTAAACGAAAGAAACCAAACAATGATTGCAATTGTGCAACTCTGTGCTCAGCACAAAAACATGCAAAGGGAACAAATAATGTTTTTTAAATTCACTGGATTGGTCAGTTTTGTGAAAATGACCCCATGAAAAGTAGTTGCACTGAAGGCACAACTCTATTTTACACAGAGAAATCTGTTTTACACAGGTTTCTTTGGTATTTTTGGAGCGGGAACAAAGTTCATTCTTTGTCGCAGTTCATCTATAGGCTCTTCAAAGTGTTTTTCAAAATAAACATTTAGAAAGAACTTGGATTGATATCCGCAATAAACAGCCCAGGGAATGTAGTACTTCCTTAGTTCTGCCCTCTGTCTGTAAATGAACACAGAAAGGAAGACTATTGACAGCAGATAACGGATCAGAAAACACTGCATGCACGTGTATCAAAAATAAAGTGAAGCCAGAGAAATGGGTTACTTCCTAGATACAAGAAACATAGGCACAAAAGACTAGATTAAAAAAGGGAATAGTTACAACATTCATGGCAGAATCACAACTTACCTCCCTGTAAGTCGAATTGGAGCTACAAATGAGCTGAGGGCACACATTGGGAGGCCTGTTTGAATCATCTCATACCACTTCACAGCTATTTCATGTGGTACACTGTTAGTTATAATAATTAAAAAAATTGTTATTATTATTATTATAATAAAAATTTAGTGGTTTGAATGCAAAAGCAGTTCATCAAGAATAAAGACTGCTCTCCATGACAGTGACTGACATTTAGACAATAGCTATTGAAATATGGAATATTTTCATTGACTCTGATGACAACAATAGTTTGTTGAAACATCATTCAGTTCTTTTAGGAGCAACTATCACCTGCTTGGATGATCAGAAAACAGGATCAGAGACAAAATCTATTCAAATTACAAATGGCTACATGTAAAGTGTTTTGGTCCAGCTGGTTTTTAGTCTAATTTTTCTTGCAGCCATGAAAATTATTATTTTTGTTCATGGCACATTCCTTCCACTTTGCAAGTGGAAATTTAGCATCTTTCATACACACCAAGGACACAAACCTTATGGACAAGCCAGCCAGTGTGTGAACAAAGTCATGAACTTCTCTATATCTTTGCATTACGTAGGCAAGATCTTTGTCATCAACATACTTCACCTGAAAGAATTAGAAGCAGAAGTTCTCATCTTATGACTAAGAAAACCACATGTATAAGAAAACCACATGGTGACATGTAACAGAGACAATTTGACTTGTTTGAGGAGAGGAAAGTCTTAATCGGTAATTGTGAAGAAGAGCTCCCCAAAAAACCTGTCGGCCGACTGTCGGCCGACAGGTTACCGACAGTCTACCGACAGCTAACCAACAGGTTACCAACAGGTTAAGAAAAAAGAAAAATTGTGTTAAAAACGAACAGTTAACGTGACATAACAATCCATAATGGTGATGTATGACTCGACAGACTTCACCTACTTACCGATCGACGGCAAAGTTGAAAGTATGTAAAGATATAGATAAAGGTATATCAGATGCGTATAGGATATATCACTTGCATAATTTACAACACACCAGACAATCTAAGAATCGCATTGGAAGATAATTTAATCGAAAACTCGAAAACATTAAGGTTTGTGTTAACGTTTTACCGACAAGCTACCGACAGGTTACCGACACATTACCAACAGTCGGCCGACTGTCGGCCCACTGTCGGCCGACAGGTAGCCAATATTTCGGGCAAAACCTGTCGGCCGTCTGTAGGCCAACTGTCGGCCAACAAACGGCCGACAGTCGGCCAACTGTCGGCCGACAGACGACCAACAGTCGGCCGACAGGTTTTTTGGGGAGCTCTTCTTCACAATTACCGTCTTAATCCATGCCACTAATCACAGGGACAAAGATTTCATTACAAATTTCCACTTACATTGGATAAATTCAGCAGTTTAGCACCTGATAATTTTTGTATTATATAGCATAACACTTATCCAATAACATGAGCTGTGCACAACTTTCCTCAACTATCACTGACTTACAAGAGGCAACTTGATTACTAGTAACTTTTACTACAACAAGGCTTTGTTTTATTTGTTGAATGATTAAATTTCAATGCTTACCTCATCTCTACTGTCAGCTGTAATTTTCTTTTGAATGGTCAAAAAGATGAAGAGAAGAACAATAAGTAAATTTTAGAGAAAAATGATGAGATTTCACAAATACTTAAATCAATACTAAATACATTGTTCACTGGCAAGCATGTTAGCTGGTGCATTTATTTCCCTTGGTGAGAAAACACTGATTGTATTTCATTATCTTTGAAAATGACATAAAATCTAGGGCATTCAAAAAAGTAGATGGGTGAAAATGTCCCCTCCTCTATTAATCATCCTCTCTTTCTTTCAGAAATAATTCAAGGGAACAATGCCAAGATTTTTGCTTTGTTCATTTGTTGTTTTGTTTTTACCCCTGGCCAATTGAATTCATTGTAAAGTTGGAATATTGAAATACTTGAGACACAACATAAGTTTGGATTACAAAGGAAAAACTTTTAAACTTAGGCTAACTATGTGTAAATGAAGATGCACAACAGTCCACATGCTTTTCACAGAGTACTTTGTACCATAATTAAAGAACAAACTTACATAAGTGTCCATATTTCTGGCATATTCTCTTCCAAATGATCCATCAGGAAGTTGTCGAAGCTTAGTCATGTCTATTATGGATGAGTTTATGCGAGGACGTTCTCTTTAAGTAAAACAGCACAAAACAAGTGTAATAAATAAATGCTCAAGTCAATCTGGATTGTGTGTACTCAACATACTGTAGCCTTAGTTGATCTATCATTTGAAATATTATCCAATATATAGGTCAACTGATATATGGATCAATACTCAGCCAATAAGAACTGGTAATGATATGCAAGTGAAGTTTAACTAATGTCTCTCATCTCAATATGCCAATAGTTAGCTGACACCTTGACTAAATCATAAGCTGACTATCAGTCAAGTTTCAGTCAATTGGTATTGCTCTAATAGTTTAGCATCTGGCAAATTTTAATCATCCAACAATGGTCCTCATGATCATTATATTACATGTGTATGACTTGTATCCAATTATTTAATAAGAGCAGCTGTAAAATGTAATCAAAGGCGATGAACAGAAAGTGAGAAACAGAGACTACAAAAAACCCCAGAATTTACTTCCTCAAATTTCACTCAAATAGTTGCTCGGCTGGTTTTTACTTCTACCCAATCAACATGAATATAGGCAAGATATGGCACTCAACCAAGAGTATTTAAAGCAGCAATTAGTTTAACATATCCATAACAAGGTTGACATCAGAGGCCTACATTAAAAATAAATCTTGAATTATTTTACACATGACACCATTTTCACCTACTGTAATATCTCTTGTCCAACTGCATCTGCTTGCATTTTTTTGTGCATGTTCATAAGTGCTAAGAATCCTGTTGTCTCTCCTAGTGTTGCCACCATATCTACAATATCCACAAACATTTTATTGAAATTTTTTCAAACATTCACTAGGTATCTGAAAGTATGGAAAACCACTGACCAGTTTTCAAATGGCTCTTACACCTCCCCCCCACTCCTCCCCCTTAGCTGTCAGGAATATATAGTTACCCCTTTCCCCTTAATCAAGCACCTTCTCCACACCCCTTATGATCAGAATTTACCAGCACGTCCAAACAGCTGTTATATCACTTTGAAACATCAACCATCAAATTTTTGGATAAAACTGAATCAATTTTTACTAACCATTTTCTGGTTAGCTGACTCAACTGGGAGAATGCCAGGCAACCTTTCTGAGTAAAAAATTTAGGAGAATGGGCTGTATTTTTTATGCTTTCTGCAGATGAAGTCTTCTTAGATAAAGATTGCAGTGGGTGAAGAAACCTTACTGAAGAAAGCTGATTATTGTCATCAGTTTTTCTCATAAAGGGGTTTGTCATATCAGGATCCAAAGGTGACTGGGTAAGAAGTAGTTATCTTCAGTAGTCACAGGATGGAGATTTATACCATTACTACAAACAAACAATGTCCGTTACCTGCTCTTGCTGGATTGTACAATGCCATCAGGGCAGACCCAGTTGTCAGTAGCACCTTCTGCATCATAGATGTGGGGATATGTGACTCATAAAGCTGAAATCCATCATGTGATTGGTTGCTTTCTTCCATATCATCCTCCCAACCAGGGATGCTGTCGCTAATGGCGTCATCAAACTCTAACCCTTTTGGACAAAATGTGAAATGGCTTAGTCTCCCCTCTACCTTACTGATACTTAATTATACTAAATAAAGGACACACAAATAAAAATTCTGGCAAAATTTTTAAAGACAAATTTAATCTTCTAAAGAAAATTCAAATCACAGAAAAAAACAATAACATATACAGGATATTGATTTTGTATCCACACAAATTTTTTTTTGCTGTTCTTACTGGTAAGTTCTGATTTGTATCTCCTGCTGTGAAATGATGCTACTTTGCAAAGATTTCACATCAGTCTGGCTATCATCTTCACCTGAATCCCTAGATTTATACAAATTCCACAGAATATCTTCTGTGCAGTCATTTAAAGTTAAGATATTTTGAAAGATAAAATAATGTTAAGAATGCTTAAATCACAAAATGTAATCCTCTTTTTTCATTTTCTCCTATTGAAACACAGGTAACCCAAGCTCCAGCTGTGAGATAATCATCTTGCAAAATAAGGCTCAAGGCAAAAAATATAAGAGTCTGTATGGGAATATTTATGACAGCTCTAGGGAAGTAAAAATACAGTCAAATTCTTAACAAATACCACACCTTACTTTCACAGTGCTTTGCTTGTTTTGTGACCACTTACTCAGGGGGGCCGCACCATCACTTGGCATCAACAAATTGTTCTAGAACCATAAGTGCCGAGTGATGGTGTGGTGCTCGGTGAGGCTCAGTTTGCAAAGGAGGCAGGGTAATAACAAGCTGGTTCGTAAGGAGAAATGAAATATTTTGCGCTACAGGCTTAAAAGAATCTCTCGATGAGCTACGCTAGCTTGGTAATTTGTCTCGTCGATTGAGTCATCACAGAGGTAATCTCTCTTGTTTCATCTAACAAAGACAAATTCTCCCAACAAATTGTAATAATCAAGGTTTACCTGCTGATACAAAACGTTTTCCCTTTAATATTCTCCAAGGATTATGAAAGTTTCTTGTGATATGACGGCTGCGATTTAGAACAGTTATGGCCGCCATTTTAATTTAGTTTCAGTCCCAGACTTATCTATTCCTGAAACAAACCAAGAGGCTGGGATCTAAGCAGCGTGGAAATCAAAGATGGCGGACGTACCTCAGTTAGTGAAGGACGCACTTCTCGCATCCAGTGAACCTATGCCGCCAGGCTCGGAAGAAGTGAGAGGTTATGACTTCAGTAATGGGGTGGATTATCACGCTTTACTCGAGTCGTACAGAACTACCGGATTTCAGGCCAGCAACTTCGGAAAAGCAGTGGTAGAAATTAACAACATGGTGAGTGGGACGGCGGTTAGATAAGGTATCTTGAAGGTTTCCTTGGATCAGGGAAGCGCCTCAGGGAGGATTTGGCCTCCACCTTCAGCCATAGGAAACATTTCACTAGACCCTTGAAGGAGCTTACTCAAACGGCATCTGCTTTTTCGCCGCTCCCTCCCCTTTCTCAGACGGATTTTTGTTTTTCCGTCTCCTTGAGTTATCACCCAACCGATGGCATGAGAGACACGATGGTTGCTATTGTTAAACTGGAATAGGAAGTCCAGGTTAAAGCCATGACCTGGGTCATTGTTTTCTGTTGAATGGATGAGACACTTAGTCTTTACACGTACAGTACCTCTCTACACTCAAGAGTATAATTTATTACTATACCCATGAAGAAATGCGATGAAATGGTGGATGTTGTCTTAGATCATGAATAAGCTTCCCATCAAGGGGGAGTTGCAATACTCCTGGAAGAATAGTTAAATTATGCATGTCGAGCTAATAGAGGACTGGGTTCAAACCATTAGGCCATATCTGATTGGTGAGTTGTGTCATATTGAGCAGGACACACAATCCTTTCTCCACTTAGGACCATAAGTGGGGCCTGTGACCAATGAGGGAAATATGATAAAGTGCTACATGATTGCAATTTTTTGTAGACTTATGTTTAACTCGAGAAGTAATGGCACCACTTGTCATTTCCTGATACAGAAACCAGCAAATCTCCATCTGCATAATCTGACCCTAATCTTCACTGAGTCATTTTAATGAAACCTCTATTGTATACATGTAAGCACAGCCTCTGGGAGTATTTAGGCCATAAATGACCTCCTTGTATTTGTAGTTTTTTTCCCTAAGTTTCTTTTGATTATTTAGATAAAAAGGAAGTTGGAACCTCTTCCAGCACCTGAAGATGGCACATCAAACTGCGATTATCTTGATCCTGGTCAGCGTCCAATTGATAATTGCACAATCTTCCTTGGATTTACATCTAACATGATTTCAAGTGGTGTACGGGAAACAATTAAATACTTAGTCAAAAACAATATGGTAGGTATACACATTGTTGCTGCCTTAAATGGATTGTGTCACAAAACTTTAGCAATGAATCAGGGTCAATGTCTACTAGTCACCTTGGGTTAGGGCAGCACATATTAGAACTATGATGACTTCCAGCAACTGAAAGATCAGCAAACAGCAGTCCTTTTCAGGATAATGTGAACTGGCCATTGTAGAGAAGTTCTTAAACCAAAGGATTGGCTCTCATGAAGGGGTAACACTCAAAATGTCAGCTTTAGAACCTCTCTATGGTGGCCAATCCACATAATCAACTTGGTAGATCAATCCAAATTATCATATAATACCCCTCGCTGATGCAGCACTACTGTTTCTTTTAATTAGAAACTTTTCAAGATAGCAAAAGGTAAAGGCCACTTTTTAGGATAATCTTTTATCAGACTTTGACAATGTTTCTCCATGACTTAAAGTATATGCTATGATTTAATGAACTTGGACTCATTCTAATCAACATCAATGATGCTGCTTGTGCATTTTAGTAAAGTTTGTTTATAATTTGATTTAGGTTGACTGTATAGCTACAACAGCTGGTGGTATAGAAGAAGATCTTATAAAATGTATGGCTCCATCATACCTTGGTGACTTCTCACTGCGAGGTGTTGAGCTGAGGAAAAAAGGCATAAACAGAATTGGGAATTTGCTTGTACCAAACAATAATTACTGTAGATTAGAGGAGTGGATTTTACCACTGTGGGATAAGATGCTTGAAGAACAAAAAACACAGGTACCTTAAATAAACTTTTTTTTCATCAATTATAATTTATTATTACAATACTCATTGGGTTTAAGTCTGTTCAGATGCTAATGGCAACATCATTATTAATTCTTAAGAAACTAATGGAATTATGTAATTACGGAAAACTTTTAAAAGTGGATACAAGTATTTTACCTGACTATGCTAATTGTAACTATTTCAGAACATCACAAAGAGTAAAAAAAAAGGCAAATTGTAATGTACTTTGTTGAGAAGTCTGCTATATGACATTTGTGATTCTTCTTGTACATTTAAATGAAGATGCTTTGAACAAAGTTTGGAAAAGGTTTGATTATAGATTAAACATTCCTATTTGAGGATTATGAGCCTTAGAAACATTTTGGAGATACGCTAATCATCAGTTTGATGATTGTTTGAGTTATCCCCTTGGTTAGGGTGCTTTTGGCATTGTCTAAGCAGTTCTTCAGAGTACTTCAAGGTCTAAGCATACAATATTTTCTTTTCAATAACTGCAGGGTGTAAAATGGACTCCATCAAAGGTTATTTCAAGATTAGGTAAAGAAATAAATCACCCAGATTCAGTCTGTTATTGGGCTTACAAGGTATGATGAACAAGATTAATTATTCAGTTGCAATAGCAACTTAGATAGTAAAAGAGGATTGACGTTTTGGATCAGTTGTGGAATGAACCTCTATTTGAGTAGAAGGTTTTTTTTTCCCTTTTTTCAACAGAATAATATTCCAATTTTCAACCCAGCACTGACAGATGGAGCACTTGGAGATACACTGTATTTTCACTCTTACAAGAATCCTGGTTTAGTTATTGATATTGTAGAAGGTAAGGAGAACCTTGTTTGTCTTATTCTGTTGAAATTGGATCTTATCAAATGTTAAATGTGTTATAATTAGTACCAAATGGATGCTAATGAAAAATACAGCTCAAGTGAAATTGGAACTGAAAGAAATATCAGCCAATTTAAGATTTCTAACTGAAAATTCAGATGCTCAATTCAGATCATTGATTATTGAACTATAGACGAGTAGCTCCTTTATTACCAATTTATTTATTTTAACAATTTTTTTCAGATATTAGGAAAATGAACAATATATCAGTATATGCCAAAAATACAGGAATGATAATTTTAGGAGGCGGTCTAATGAAGCATCACATATGCAACGCAAATCTAATGGTGAGTTACTTTCAACATCCTGCTCTAGTGCTGTGACATCTTCAATCCTTGACAGTTTATCGCTTCAATTTATTATTTCATTTAAATTTCCTCCTCTCCTCTGCATTTCCTGTGCTTATTTGGCTTCAGTAACGAAGAAGTGGTCACCAAGAGTGACGCTCATTTTGGTCTGAATTTGTTTTATTTGCTTACTTTTGTTTTAGTCAAAGCTATTAAAAGTGGGGCTTGATCCACGTTCTGTAAGTTAGGCATTTCCTTGCGTCATTTTGTAGAGGACAGAAAAGTACCTCCAAACACTTTATTTTACTAGCAGATGCCCAGGTTGTATAAATTTCCAAACGGTATTATGATTATAGGTAACTACCACAAATAAAAAAATATCGAGTGATCAGCTACCTTTAAAATTTGGCCGTTTCAGTTGGATAGAATAGCATTTCCATGCCTTAATAGGCTTTGCAGTGCGCCAACCGGTTGGAAAACGATTAAACCATTGAATGCTGATATCCACTTTCCCAACTGCCGAGGCCCATTTTGTTCTGTTTAGAAATCCTTAGTTAAAAGTCCTCTTTTGCCTTCACGAGTTGAGATTTTTTCATTCCAAGCATTGTTTCAACAGCAGTTCTAAGGTTTGGGAAGGGAGGGGGGTGGGGTGAGAGTCTGCCTTCAAAATAGCAGGTAATTTAGTGTTAACAACTGAGTTGAAAAAGTAAATTGGCCGCCGTAAAGGGTAAAAAAGCTAACGTTTCGAGCGTTAGCCCTTCGTCAGAGCGATTGACGAAGGGCTCTATACCTTCCCACCGACGCAGTACCACAGTTTCTTTAGAAACTTATTCCATTTATGCCTTCAAAATAGCCTCGCATGCATGCAGTGACGAGAAGTAGTGCTACTCCTTTTGACCGACGTTTTTGTCTATCGCATTCGCCTCCCACCCCACCTTGCCCCCAAAATTTTGTTAGGTTTCCATTTTCGCTGCGGCGCGTGAGTTCCCAGTACATACCTACTCAGTTCATACCTCCAATTAAATTAAATTTTGAGAGATTTGTCATAAACTTGTTAAGAAAGTTGTTTAATTCTCAGTTCGGTCTTTGAATAACGAAAAGTGTTATTAATTTTTCTCAAGGTTGGGACGAAGGAGAAAATCAGAATTCCTGCGACTATTCGAACCACTGACCTCCAAAAACGCACTGTCGTGCTCTATTAGGTCTCGTTAATTAGCTAAGCTTCTACAAGGGTTAAATATATTAGGTATTCAGCCTGCTGTTTGGATCAGCAAGAGATGTTAGGTATCTCCTTTTGTTTGACAAGATTATGTGACAGTTTGGTTTCCTTATTCAGCGTAATGGCGCCGACTTCTCTGTGTTCGTCAACACAGGCCAGGAGTTTGACGGAAGTGACTCAGGTGCCAGGCCTGATGAAGCTGTGTCCTGGGGAAAAATTAAGATGACAGCTTCGCCTGTAAAGGTGAAAAACAACTTCTTCTCATTATCTTTTGAAAAAACAATTGTTGATAAGAGTGAAGGTAGTCAGGGAAACCGCATTAGCGAGTGACATTTGCGTGGAAACTCGGTAAAATTTATAGTTGTGTTATAACATTTTTCTTTCGCCTTTGGCAGAGTTGGGAAGCGACCAACGGAAACGGAAAATAGACATTTTTGCCACTTTTTTGTTTTTTTGTTTTTTTTTCTTTACATATACTGCTTAAACTAAGGCTTGCAATTAAAGCTACGAACAATGAGCACGATTATGTAGAGTTTATGGTGAGCTCTACAGCCCCATATTGTGGATGCTATCGTCGAATTTTATCCTTGATTCAGCAACATTTTGTTTTGTCAAACTCATTACATCAAACACTATCAGACCAAATGAAAGAAAAATGAATGAACGGAACAACTGCCACCGAATGTTAGGGTGTTTCGTTAGAATAACTAATTGTGAAAACTTAAAAGCTGTCGCATTTATTAAAGTACTTCAGTTCGGTCTTTAATCCATGTGGAAACAAGACCAGTTGAGAATGGTGGCGATTTGTGGTTGTATTACAGATCAAATGTAGTTAAATGGAATACAGGTGGAAGAGTGAATGAGCTATTTATTATTCCAGTGTTAATATATATGATAATTATTTCCTTTTAGGTTTATGCAGACGCTTCCTTGGTTTTTCCGCTCTTAGTGGCGGAGACCTTTGCCCGGAATTTTAAAATGGACAATTAGGATTGAAAGGGGGTAAGCGATAAGGTGAAGGAAAAAACTTCGCCAATGGAGACAAATTTTGAAGCTTCCAGGATGCTTTGAGTGAGATTAAAAGACGGCGGACGTGGTCCAAATACAGAAGATTCTCGACATTTTGTCACCGCAGTAATTGAATTTATTCAATGGAAAGTTCTGGCCTTTAATTGTAGTTTGCATAAACAATGGTTCAAATATTCGTAGGTCGTGGGAAGTAAATATAATGCCATGTCGTGAAGATTGCTTGGACTTTAATTCTTGCACACTTCGAAACTATTGGCGCAATTAACGATGAAAAATTGGAATTCACTCTTCAATGCGTCATTTTAGTTTGTGAGGAAACTTTATAACGAGTTGCGAAACAGGTTTTCTCGGGGAATTTGTGCCACCGCACAAGATGCTGTGAACTCTTTATTTAAACAATCTTGACGTAAGGAAGAGCGAAAGTCACTACACCTCTAAACCTCAATGGCGAAACTTTACTTTGTTTTCCTCGCCACCTTAATTGCTGTGCATCTAAACATCTAATTTTTTGAACATTTTTTCTCAGTTTTTCAAATAACTATTCCACTTGTCTCATCTGCTGAAGTTGTTATGAAGGAGTAAACATGTCATCAAGAAATGATGGTGTCTTTTTATGAGTTTTGTTCATTGAGAAGCAAACTGGGTTTGGAAGGGTTGAAAGAATTTAATTCATCGATTTGAAATGAATGAAAATTACCCAGTGCGAGGAGAAACAACAACTGTTACCGCCAAACTTTGTGTTTCGATTGTTTTGATAGCTTTCTTATTCTATCATTTAAGGAGGAAGATTTTAAAAAGTTACATCTTGCGATCTCGTATTTGCTTCTGTAATGAAATAGTTACCAGTTTGACATTTAATTTCTGTTGCTGTATATAATGTTGGCAATTAATAATGAATGCGCTGCAAACCGAAGAAAAATAACCTTAATAGCTTATTCAGTAGGGAAGAGTTTTAAGCCACCAAAAATATTCATGACAGAATTTCAATGCTGCTTTCATTTTCCACAGAGCTTTTCAGAGGTTATATTTGTTCTAGCGTAATTACATGGTTCTGTTTTTTTGTGTGTGTTCAGTACTTTTAGGTTAGAGACGATCAACGTTTTATCCTTTTTCCTCGGTAAATATGTGTACCTGTGACGGTTAAACGGTGTTCCTGTATGTTAACTAGTGTCATAACTATTTTTGTTGATAACCATCGAAAGATCAGCTCTCAATACTTTGATAGCGGGAACAAACGAGCATTACCGAAGCGCTCAAGCTTATTTTTTCACAAATTCTTTCTATACAATCGCTTTACTGAAGTTAAGACAATGAATTTCTTGTTGGAGATGTCACGTTTCACAAAACTCTTCAAATTAGTAGGACGTGCTTATTTGAACACTTTGCAGCACCCAAACGAACACAAAATAAATTGCCATCTTTAATGGTAAGTTGCGTAAAACTCAGCCCTTTTCATTGGTTTATATTCTGACAGCTTTAGAGCTTAAATATAATTGCATTTTCCAAACAATGTTTTATGCAGGTGACAATTGTCCGTTGGGTGTTGATATTTCAGTTGAGCTTTCTTCGTCAGTAGGTGACTATCACAATGAAAGGCTGAAGCTTAAGTGCAAGTACGCAACGAATCTGCAGGAGTGATCAACAGGTAGTTTAATACAAGATAGTTTATTTTAGCTTATTCGCGCTTAAACTGGCCTTGTTCGATTATTTCTAACCCAATTTTTCCTATCTTGAAATGGTAAAGTTTCCGTACAGCCCCCATACTATTGTAAAACAAATCTGTATTTCCAATGGAAATTTGTTGTTTTTGTCATTGTTTTCTCTGTTCAAGAACTAAATGCATAATGTGGGATGGGGCTGTGCGGAAATTTTACCCTTGAAATTTGCGGCAAAGAGGAATTTCGGTCGCAAGCTGATACCGTGACCAACTTATAAATTCTACTGACAATGCAAGTCGAGAGAAGTGCAGAATGATGGATGTTTTCCATTATGTTAAGATGTGGCGATCCTCCTGTAGTTTTGCCGACAGAGACAATATTTCACAGTATTGTCTTTCATTTTCGGTCTGTGATTGGCTAGAAATGAAAGATGGACATCACAGCACTGAAATGGGTTCTTCCCGTACGGTCGAAAATTTTACCAGCTGTGTAGCTACAAATCCACCAAATAAGACACTGGACACTGAAATAAAAAGTACTTGGTGAAAACAAGGCAAAGTATACTCGTTTTCATACATCGATCGACCAAATTTGCCATCTTTTGCTTCGACGTCTGAAATAACTCTTAAAACAACTTCCCAGAAACATACACGTTGAATGCCGCATAATTTAGTTGGTACTCGGGCCTCAAGCTCATTATCAAGAAATTTGTGGTGAATTATTCGCTTTCAGATTAGCACTTTTTCAACATGAAAAGCTGCTAAATGATCTCTCAAATAACACGCGATTGATCGAGATATTGTTGCCATGAAGGCATTTAGCAAAAAGTAGTTGAAATTTTGATAAGGTACCAGCAGACTGTGCGCAAAACTATGAACAGCATAGGGAAATTTTTTTTTTTGATGTTTGCGTCTAAAAACATAATTAGTGTTAAATGGCGATAATCCAACGATTTTTTCGAGGCTTTCAATAACCTGCATAAGTTATCTTGAGTTTTACATTACAAACGGATTCGATTGTGCGGAGAAACGCATTCCAACTTGTTATTCTATCGAAGCAGAGAAACGCGCATAAAAAAAATGATAATGGATTTGAAGCTCAACGAAGCTGCTTATTACATTTTTAAGTCAACTTGTGAGAGGACATAAAATTTTGAAGTCACTACAAACGTTCCTTTTGCATCGCACGTTAGGTTAAATTTAGAGACAATATTATATTGCCATTTGCGGCTTGGAAGTCCAGTTGTCTTAGATTCCGGAAGTTTTAACGGCTTTCCTCTGTGGAATATGGTGGGGCTGAACCGCCGTGAGGGCCCACAGTATCTTGAAATATTCTTTAAAGACCTTGAACTCTCTTATAGTTGTAAAAGAACTCTATTTTTAAAAGCATTCAAGAATCTTTTATCAAAACTAGTAAAGGCTCTTATCTTACATTTAACGTTTGTTAAAAATTCTACACAGTCATTAAAGGAAGAAACATATATTCATCTGTGCACGCTGTCAAGAGGAAAGAAAAAAGAAGCAGTTTTAATATATTGATATCGAGTAACAGATTAAGTTGCTAAATTAAATGGGTTTCCATGAAATGAAGGGCTGGTGTTTATGCTTATCCTCGTCTACGGTATTCAGTTTTTACATGTGTCAACGGATGAACACGTATTTCCTTTCAAGAGTTGTTAATATTCCGGCGACGGAATCACTTCATCTGTAGTAGCGGCATACAAAGATGACTCCCTCTAGAATAACTGGAAAATAAAACAGAAGGAAGAAATAATTTTTTCCCATTTCAGACACCCTTAACTCTAATGATCGATATACGTTTTCTCGCCGAAACTTTGTAACAAAAGTAAACATCAATTTAACAAAATGTCAAAAATCGGCTCCTCTGTGACACCTAATATTCAAAACAACAAGAATCAACGCAATTATCTGGTAAACAGTCAAAATAAAATGAGTCATTGATCCATAAATAATCGCGTGTTATTGTCGAGATCATTGCGAAACATTTAACGATATTCAAATTTTGAGAAAGCCTCTTTGTTGATAGTTGCAATAGTTCTTTCGCCTCATTGAACTTTGAAGTGGCACGAGAGCTCACGAAAGTCTAAAATATTCTGATCTAACAATGTGATTTAAACCCTCTAAGGTGTCAGCTGAAGAAGACCAAAATGCCGTCCAGTAACTATACAAACATCACAAACTCAACTGAGCCCTCCTCTATTGGAGCAAATACTTTGGTCGAACAGTATGAAGAATCAAAAGCCCTTTACATTTTCCGTTTAACCCTGTTCTCCGTTATCATCTCGGCCAGTATAATCGGCAATTTGGTGGTTTGTTATGCTGTGTGTACCATACCTTCCCGCAAGCCTCTCTCCTACTATCTCGTCGCTAACATGGCCTTCGCGGAAATTCTAAGCAGCGTTTGTTTGGCCGTCATGTTTGCGAGCTGGCAGAATCCAACTGACGTCGTTCTTCAAGAAGCCGCATGCATTTTGAATCCGTTCCAAGTAATTGCTCTTCTCGTTGTGATCTACTCACTGGCTGCCATCGCTTTTTATCGTTACAGATTCATTGTAAACCCTCTTCCACGCACACCATCATCAGTAAAGACAGTAACAATTCTGACCATATCTGGGTTGTGGCTGTTGTCATTTGCAATCGCCTGTCCCTTTTTCTTTGGTCTCAGATTTAGAAATGGTGTATGCATGGAGCTGTCTGTCGTAAGTAATAGATCCTATGTAGCCATCAGATTCATCCTGAACTACGCTTTACCTTATGTGATAATGCTGGCATCTTACGGAGCGGTGGCGTGGAACTTAAGGAGACGAATTGTGCAGATTAAGAGAAGAAATCGAGATTCGATTGTTACTTCCTCTTGTGGTGTTGAAACTGAACTCCAAGAGTTACGAGATGGCGCGAGAATGGAGGAACGAAGAAGTGTTCTGCTCGAACAGAATAACCGAAGAGACAGCAAACCCGAAAACACAGACCCGGAGAAAGATTTACTTAAAATGATTTTTGTGCTTATTATCATTTATGTTGTTTGTTATTTTCCGTATCAAGCCCATTATGTGTGGGAAAGGGTTTCTAACATCACTGCTTATCAATTTAGATATCATCAACTCTTTATTGATTATAATTTTATTTTGATTTGCCTTCCTAGCGCCTTACATCCTTTGTGTTATGGAACAATGAACAGTTTCTTTGCTAAGGCGTTCTCCAAAATCATTCTCTGTAGATCTTGAAAACACAATGATGAATATGTTTCTCAAGTCGTAGGATGCTTTGTTCAAGTTTGAGCAAATTCTTAGGTTCATTTTGCCTTGTTATGAGAGCCATTTCCGGATGAAAGTTTTTTCAACTTGAGTTGTTCCTCCTCGTCGTTTAGGACTTGTGAGTTTATCTCAAAATTGACTTGTTGACTGGGCCATTATTTCATATACAGACTTATCATGATGATAAATGTTTATGCAACCTGTGTATCTGCAGCAACAAAGGTAGTAGAAGATACTTTTGAGCAACTTTACAAATGTAAGTGATATGACAAGAGGAAAATGCTTATTGTTGAGAAGAAATTAAATTTGACTAGGGCCCTTTAAGTGCATGATAAAATATTATCTTTTTGTTGCTGATAACGAATTCCTGTTCAAATTTAAAATTACATTAAGTCGGCGAAATTGTAAAGAGATCCAAATTTAGAAACTGCTGCTATTTAGAGCGTGCGCCCGTAGCATGAAATTTTTCAATGACGAGATATCTTTTGCCGACCGACAAATGGTTTTCGTGAAACTTTGGAATGCTAATTATTCCTAAGTTGTCAGTTGTTTTCATTGTTGGCTTATTGTTTGCGGTTTTTTGACATGTTGTTTGTAGGTGACAGGCACGTCACCTACAAATTTAGAACACGCCAGGCACGTCACCTACTTTTCTCTGTTCACTAATCATGCGAACCATGAGCAATTTTCGATAGAATTTTGAAAACAATCTGGCGCTGCTTTGATAATTCTTCAATGCGCTATAGGAATGATTCAGAGAACTCGCGCCATGGTCTTTATGCAGACTCTAGAATTGAAACCAATTGCAATTTCGTTCAATCCACTTTGCGCCTTTGAGGTCGTTGACTACTTGTGATGTCCACGTTTTATCTGTTTGGCCGATGTTATCAAGTTGGTTTTGGTTTTACAAAACTCAATCGAAAATCTCTCTAATTAGGAAGCGTAGCAGACATTGATTTATGTTGTGTTTAGGTTAAGTTCGGATAGAACACGCGCTGTCATTGGTTGATAGAGCGTTCTACATTAGAGTGAAAAACACAGAGCTGAGCTAAAGCTGGTAATTTAGTGTTAACAACTGGGTTGAAAACGTAAATTAGCTACCGTAAAGAGTAAAAAAGCGTTCGAGCGTTAGCCCTTTGTCAGAGCGATTGGAGGAATTGTGGGTTGTGTGTGGGTTTATAGGCAGAAAGTGGAGCTACGCCATTGGTGGGAATATAGTGACGAGAAAACAGGAATAAATTATGAAATTAGGAGATCCTCGCAGCTAAGAACACTACTGAAACGAGTAGTTGTAAATAGGACCTGACCTGATCCTGATCCTAGGTCCTATTTACAACTACTCGTTTCAGTAGTGTTCTTAGCTGCGAGGATCTCCTAATTTCATCTTTCCGCCGCAGTGCAAATATGTGAATTTTCATATATCTAAAATCTTCATTTCAAGTACTAGGAATAAATTAGTTGAATGAAAAGCGCTCATTGATTCCGTGGGGATTAAGGGTGCCGATTTGGTAGATAAATTTTTGTTCTAGTGTTTTACGGCTTTCCGAACTGCCTAGATGTAAGGAAAGGCCGCAAACTGCCATATGCTGTTTAGAACGATTAGGAAGATTTAAGTGTCTAGCGACTGGTTTGGATGCGTCCTTGTCATTTCTTTCCACGTCGCGGAATCGGTCACCTAGTCGTCTTCCTGTTTCACCGATGTATAACTTATTGCAATAAGTGCAAGTTATGCAGTAAATAACATTGGCGGAGGTACACGTAAAGTGATCAATGATCTTAATGGATCTCTTGGGTCCCGATATTTTCTCTACGTTATGAATAAAAGGACAAGTTTTGCATCGTGAGCGAGCGCATTTAAAAGTTCCAGATGGGTCATTGGTTTGAAATGAACTCCTGACTAAAAAGTTGCCTATGTTTTTTGTCACGTTTGAATGAAATAAGTGGGGGTTGCGAAAAGATAGTGCCAGTCTCTGAATCGTTTTGGAGTAATTAAAAATTTTTAAGAATGATAGATTTAACTGCGTGGTTGTGAGGGTGAAATGTTAGAGTAAATGGAATGCGGTCAGTGTTTTCCTTCTCAGCCGTTTGTAGTGCTGACTGTAGATCGATTTTTTGGGCACGGTGGTGGCCCGCTTGAACGACAGAAACAGGATAGCCACGTTTATCGAAAAACTGGCACATTGCCTCTGATTTTTCGGAAAAAGATGATTGAAATAGTGCTGTAATGTCAATTTTGCATTGAATAAAAAAATATAAAAAAATGAATTAATTTGATGACTTGCGCATTTCTTTGCCTTTGTTAAAATCCTCAGGATAAATTTTTCGGCATATTAACATAAAAGAGCATCTCTGGTTTAACCCTAACCCTAAGCTTGAATCTCTCGAGATTTGCTGCATATCCTTATTTAGTGGTGTGACTAAAAAACAGGCAAATATTCTACGACTAATGTGAGCGTAAATTTGGTGTTCGAGTTATCCAAAGTGATTTGGCGCTCTTTAGTACGCTTCTAACGAGATGATCACGTGAAAATCGCAAAAAAGTAACATTTGGTCGAAAAATTGGGAACTTTAATATTTCGCCTAGATCCCCAAAACCGCTTCTGTGTTTTAGAAAATTCACAAAAACTGGAACGAGTACCGGTAGCTGCAAAACGGCGGAAAGCATTACCTCGGTCCATGGAGGCAAATGATCTTTGCTCATGAAAGGCGCAAGAAGGTGTTGGGCATTCTCAGGTTTAAAAGCCTTGTATAACACTATAGTTTATATGATAAAAAATTGTTATTCATCAGCATAGGCTGGTCTGTATTGGGAAAAAACTATGCCCTCTGTCTTGAGCATCGCCCGAGGCCAACGGCCTCAGCCGGTGCTCAAGACCTCGGGGACAGTTTTTCCCAACACAGACCTCCCGGCTGGCGAATGACTCTTACATATCATGCTCAACCTCGTCCCATAATTTCTTCTTATGATCCATCAAATATTTTTGCTCGCGTGCGATTGGTCTAAAAGCCACGTTACCGAATACTTCCCCAGCCAAAGCTGGAGAACATGGAAAGCACATATCGGTTAGTTCATAAAATCGTACCAGAGAACATTGAAAAGTGAACATCTCAAGCAACAAACGGTAAGCTATTCGTAAACATTTTTTCGCGTGCGTTAAAAAATGTTTGAAGGATAATAAACACAGTAGCCTCCATTTTGCACTAAAAATATCCTCGTAACTGTTTCCTTGGGCATAATCTGTTCCTCGAATCTCTCATTTCTCCTCGAGCTTCGCTCTTGAGAAACTGTATCCGTGCATTTTTTTGCCTCAAGTAGAGGCTATTGTTGATACAATGTTGTTTTGGAGGATATGAAAATTAGTTTGGGGCTTTTTATTTTGTGAAAATCGCAACATTGTCGTTTACATCACGACATAATCTTATTAGGCACTCTGTTGTTAAACCTGGAATTCAAAGCAAATCTTAGCATTCAGAACCGTACTTGATCACAAAACCAACTGAATCCAACCTCGCAAAGATGACGATGGCCATTTTGGTGGTTAACCTTGCTTTCGTTTTAAATTCCCATCTGTTTCCTGTGGCGAAGGTGTTTATCTGATAACACATTCCTCAACGGTGCAGTAGGCGTCTGTTTTTCTTCACATGTTCGAAGACATTTACGTTTTCAGAAATTTTTAGAATAAAAGTGAGCTTCATTGTGGACTTGTTAGAGATAATTCAATCATGAATACTTGCAGGTCAATAGTTCTTTGCCGAAGACGAGACGAGCAGCAAGCTCTCAAGAGTTTGTAACACAAGGCTAAACGTATTACCATTACGGCAAATTTTTATTGGGCTCGAATGATAGAATTTAATACAATATACTTTCGAACCTGAATTAAGCGGCACCGTATTAAGGGATTACCTATTAATAAGCGGTCGCTTGTCAAAGTACCGAAACTTTTTTCCCTCAAGTATTTTAATTTTTACTTCTTTGTGCGCCACCTTTATTAAGCGGTCGTGGTCACCCTTGACTGAGTCCCAGTGGCTTCTTTGTATTGTTTTCCACTTGTATTGAACGGTCACCTAAAGCGAAAACACCAAGAAAAAACCAATAATAATCTCTCAAGTCAAATTTTCCATGTTTATCTCCCGAACCAATGTTAGCACTTTGAGTTCAAATGTCTTTCTTTCGAGGACTGTTAAGTCAAAATGGTGTTTTTTTTTGCATCGCGTTTAGCAAGCGGTCAACCTGTGTTAAGCAGCCACCCCGCCAATCCCCATGGGTAACCCGTTAATACAGGGTTCGATTGCCAATGATATCCATTTGAAGAGAATCAGTTTCGCATTTGATCCAGGCGGATTAATGTAACAAAAAGAAATGACTAAATACTCCTTAACATGGTTAAAGCTTTCATCATAATTTTTTTGCAATGCTTTTGAGTATGGAGTTGACGACTCTATGATAAACAGATTAAGCTTAGAAAAAATTTGTTAGCCAGAGCTGTCAAGTGCAAAACCAACCTTTCAAATTCTGATCCGCAATGACGGCTGAAACTCTACGCCTAGGCTCAGTTCCTACTTCCACAACCGTGTTTGTCAACATGTAGAGCCTTCAAGCCTCTATTAAACAGATTTAAATGAGGAAAAGTTGTCAGCAAGAGCTGTTGGGTGAAAAATCAACCTTTCTATAAATGTTATCCGTAATGACAGCTAAGAGGCACGGTGGACATTGAATTACAACTTCCCATGCCATACTATTAAATAAGAAAAACTTTCTTAAAGAAAGTTACAAAGACTGGAAACTCATGCATTGCTTTATTTCTGTACATTTAGTAACAAAGATGAGCGGATGAGAGATTGAGTCTTATAGAGGTTCAAATATATCTCATAGAGGTTCAAATATTTCTTTAGCCTGATTTTCTTGTCAGAAGGACCTTCGGTTGCCTATCATATTCTGTGACAGTTCTTCGAGTTTAGGTGGTTGTGTTCTGATAAGCAGTTGGAAGGTTCTTGCGTCATCTTTACGTGATTGAAACATCACAGTTTACAATGATCACTGTTAAAATAGGATTGGTGTGATGAAATTTTGTGAGCTTGATTTGAAACAACTTCCAAGCCAAGAAACTAATTAAGAATCAGACGTCTGAGAACCAAATGTGTTTTCCTTTTCGTTTAAGCATGGCTAACATGAGAAGACACAAGTTGTCCCGCCTTGCGCGTTTTAGCGGCGCTATCGGACTGCTTAAGACCAGGGTTTAAGGAAATTGAAAGATTAATGTGCCATCGAACATGAATGTTCTCTCAGTCAGTAAATACGAAACATTCCTTTGATTCAATTGCAAATTTTCCGTCAAGTTCTGACATGAACTACTTAGAATTTAATTCTACATACTGCTCCTGAGTTGTCAATAAGGAGATGGTATCTATTTTTTATCATCGATTTCTTTCGATTCAAAAGACAGGGATTAGATCATGCTGATCAAACCTCGCAAGTAACCGTTAGGCACGAAGTTGTGCCCATCGATTTTGATCAAATGTGTAGCAGAGGTTCCTAGCGTACGCGCGCGGCAGCAAAAGAACATTAGTGTTAGCTATGAGTGAACAGTGTGGGTGACGAGAAGAAAGACCGAGGTGCTGCTATTTTTTTTTTAACAGGTTGACGTCTTGTGCTCTCATCAAACTATCAAATGTTTGGTTAAAAAGCAGTTTCATATTTTCTGGTCTGAGTTGTCTCTGTAGTATAAATTTTTGTTTACTTTTAAAAAAATTCATATGCTGATTGAAAAGGAAATTGCTATTTGCAAACCTGTCCAAAGTGAATTTTGCTAAAAGCTGTAGCTACGTCATAATCGATATGTGGCGTGAGTTTTCCCCATACAAAACTAAATGAAAAGCTGTACATAGATTCTAGTGATAACTGAAGTGAGCTTCATCTCTGTCTATCGGTAGGATATCTTCAATAATTTACCTCGATAACTTCCTCTTGTAATACGATGGCATACTTTAACCACATAGAATGTTTACAAGGTTATTTAAAGCGAATCTCTGGCAGTTGCGATGTTTGTGTGATCTTAAACTGTTGCAATGATTATAGCTCTGTACCAGCTGTGTTATTAGTATACCAAATACACTCACGCCGTTCTTGGAGCGATCTTTGACGAGACCGGCATTTACAATTTATCACTGATTAGCCATTCATTTGTCACTCACGGTCTGAAAATTTGGTGTCATTTGTGTCAGTCAAAACTCAACAAAGAATTCATCGGGGAAAATGTTTAAAAGCCTTTAAAAGTGTAATTCTAGTGATTATCAGCAGCAAATGTTTATCGAGATACAAGATACGAGAACAGCTATGATAACTTTAATTATGATTAAAATCAATATCAAATTCGTCACTTATGATTGACAGGTTTAAAATTCGAAGCCATTTGTGACGTTGACTATGAACACAACAGTGGAGAGGAAGACAGCGGGAGAGTCTTTGAGAAAACGGCTTCGCACTACAGTATCTGTTGTCTACTTATCTCTCTCACAGTAAAGGTGTTAACAAAGAGGACAAGATCAACGACAAGAGCAGGAGGACGAAAAAAAAGATGGAGTTTATCAACAATACGAACGTCACAAACTCAACCGAGCCCTCCACGGTGGGATCTGTTTCCTGGATAGAACAGTATGAAGAACCAGAAGCTCTTTACATTTTCCGTTTAACCCTCTTCTCCGTGATCATCTCGGCCAGTTTAATCGGCAACTCGATGGTTTGTTATGCTGTGTGTACCATACCTTCGAACCGCAAGCCTCTGTCCTACCATCTCGTCGCTAACATGGCCTTCGCAGAAATTCTAAGCAGTGTTTGTTTGGCCGTCATGTTTGCGAGCTGGCAGAATCCAACTGACGTCGTTCTTCAAGAGGCCGCATGCATTTTGAATCCGTTGCAAGTAGTTGCTCTTCTCGTTGTGATCTACTCACTGGCTGCCATCGCTTTTTATCGTTACAGATTCATTGTAAACCCTTTTCCACGCGGACCGTCCGTTAAGAAGATTACAATTCTGACCATATCTGGGTTGTGGCTGATGTCATTTGCAATCGCCTGCCCCTTTTTCTTCGGTCTCAGATTTAGAAATGGTGTATGCATCGAGCTGCCTGTCACAAACAATGAGTACTATGTAATAATTAGATTCATCCTGAACTACGCTTTACCTTATGTGATAATGCTGGCATCCTACGGAGCAGTGGCGTGGAACTTGAAGATGCGAATTGTACAGATTAACGAAAGAAATCGGACCTCGACTGCCGAATCGTCTTGTGTTGTCCAAATCGAAGATCAAATAGAGCTACAAGATATGGGAGAGGACACGAGAATGGAGGAACGAAGGAGTGTCGCGCTCGATCAGAATAACCGAAGAGACAGCAAACCCGAAAACAAAGACCCGGAGAAAGATTTGTTTAAGATAATTTTTATGCTTATTATCATTTATGTCGTTTGTTATTTTCCGTATCAAGCCCATTATGTGTGGGAAAGGGTTTGTAACATCACTGCGTATCAATTTAGATATCATCAACTCTTTATTGATTATAATTTTATTTTGATTTGCCTTCCCAGCGCCTTACATCCTTTGTGTTATGGAACAATGAACAGTTTCTTTGCTAAGGCGTTCTCCAAAATCATTCTTTGTAGATCTTATGAATAATATGTATCTCAAGTCGTAAGCGGAACTTTGAATAAACCTTTACCAAGCTGCGAAACTGACTCATTTTTTAAATCGAGCTCAGTAAAAGTTCTGAGCTCCCAATATGGTATCTGTAAATATCTTGCAGCCGTCTTGGATACGAAAGGGAAGTCTTCCAGTCAAGAGTTCCAGAGTTTAAATACCGCAAAAATTTGTTCGCGGAAAACTGTTTGTTTTTGAACAACTTTGAAAAAAATATACCTCTTATAACGATGCAAGCTTGGTAGAGGTTGATGTGTAAGAGTATGTTTATTTTAAAAATACACAATTTACGTCAGCGAGGGCACTCGCGTCAGTAGACTCCTTTGTGTTAATTACAGGAACACTGTGAAACGGATACCTTCAATAACGTATTGAAAATTGAGTTATGCTGGGGATCGTTTTCAGCAAGATCAGATTAATGCAAACCAGCCTTTCAATTTGCCGTCGTAAATAACGACTTCCTGCCGCCACATGTATTGTGTACAAAAACTCTTGAGAATTACATATCCATGGCTTTGCTTGTAAATATGCTCATCTTTCACAAGGGAAATTACTAAGACTAGAAGCTCATAGATCATTTTCTTATCATTCAGTTCCTTGAGCAAAATTTGCCAGATATCATATAGTTTCAACCATTGTATGTAGAAATATAGGCTTCCAGTAGTTTAATGAAACGCAGCTGATTAAAGGATTTTAAAATGTGATCAATAACTGTAAAAGTTCTCTGAAATACTTAAGGAAATCTGAATATGTGTTTATTTGCAATGATGGGAGGGTATTCTTGTTAGCTTAAAATATGCCTGAAAAGACCTGATTCTGTAGGCACAAGAAATATATTTGACTCCTGATAAATCGAACTTATAGGGAAAGGGAAAGAGCTTCAAGTAATCGGGTGATCGGGTTATCGGGCGAAGGGAACAAGTGACCATAAATATGAAACAGATGGTGTTTTTTGTGTTTTTATTAATACATTGCACATTTTAATAACATTAACCAACGAGATGTCGGTTTGAATAAAAATTTCAGCAAGCAGCCAAATCAACGTTAGGTTCGAGTCCGCAAATGTTCCAGTTATTAGAGATGTACATGTGTTGAACAGCAGGGGGAGAAACTTCGCGAACAATCTTGTAAAATCACAAGCGTGTCCTCGTTGCGTGATTTTTTGCTCAGGAAGGGAGAAACACCTACACTTGATGGATAGTCTTAATAAAGAAATAACCCTGATGTAATTACATTTAACGCTGAGTGTGAGTCGATGTGTTTTAAACATCCTCAGGTCTCCAGACAAGGTGACGATCAGAAGTCAAAACATCCTGCAATTTAATTTTTTGTCAAGAAACTCCAAGTTGTCTACAGCTAATAGAACTAAAGAATATTATAGATCTCATAAGGTAGATGAAAGAAGGAAACGGGAAAAATCTATCTTTAAACATCTCTCAGATGTTCCTTCAGTCGGTAAACATAACATGTTCGCCGGAATTAATTGCAAATTTCAGTCTGTACCTTAAACGTTAAAGTACAGACTGCACATAAATAATAATTATATATACAAGTTCTATGAAATAACGGAACTGAGTTGTCAGTCATAAGATGGACCTAAGTATTTGTTCTCTTAATTTCAAGTGATCATTGGTTCTTTTCAAAGAAAATGACAGAAGTATAGACGCATTGATCTCAACAATAATATAATAACCGTCTTTAAAACGTGTTGTTCAATTTGAATTAAAATGTGTGGAGGATTTTTTTGGAATACGTGCATGGTTGAAAGGCCTCACTGACACTGAGTGAATTGTCCGAGTGATGAGTTAAAATGCGGCTTCGAATATGTTATGCAGTTGAGGTTGTAGTTGAGGGGTTTCTCGGTGAAAATCCAAGATGTAAAGGAAAATCGCGGCCCTCAAACGCCCAAAACACCGGCAAAATGTCGTGCCATTAAGCAGGATTTCCACTGTTGCTTTTGTCCATGCGCGTAAACGTGCGTTTAAAAAAATTACATACTTTGGTACGTTGAGATGAACGTTTACGTGCGTCGACAAAACGTTATCATATTTCTACTTCCTCGTTTTTTTTCTGGAGGTTTACGTACTACGTGCGTTTTACGCACGTTGCAATCGTAAGAGTGCAAGTTAAGTTGCACACTTCTTCAACTTCTACGCATAGGCCAACATTTTCCTCACGTTAAAAGGCATGGCAGTCATTTTTACGTGGCGGTGGAAATTGTTCGCATGCGTTTTCTTTACGCACGTTTTACGAACAGAAAAACTCATGCGACTGGAAGCCGTGAATACACATTTACATCGGCAGCAACTGGACGGCTCATGAGGAACCAAAAAAATTTGTTAAAAGCCCTTGCTACGTCACAATCGACATTTCGCGTGCTTTTCCCCCTAAACAAACCCAAGTGAAAATCTGCTTGCAAATCCAGCGAGAATTGAGCGGCGGTCAGTTTAGTCTATCGCTATATCCTAAATTATTCAGAACGATTTCAAATTCCTCTTGTAATACAACGGCATCTTCAAGGCACAGATCTGTTTGAAAGAAAAAGATTACCGAAAAAAAATATCGGCACTTGCGGAAGGTTTGGATTCTAAGTTTTTTGTTATTGTGTCGACAAGCTGTGTTTGCGCTAATCACAGTGAAATTTTCCCGCGCAGTCGTTTGTCATGACCAGCTTTTTAAAATAATTTTTTTGTGTCCTTTGATTGCCGTCGCCATTTTCATACTCTCAACAAAGTCGCAGACGGGAATATTTTGTAAATGAGAGAACCTTTTCTCAACGGTTCATTACAAACGTTTTCGCGTACACGGTTCCTATTTAAGCTAAAATTTAATGCTTTTCAAAGCAGTCTTAAACTGCCATATTAGGAACAGGTTTTGATATCTTCTTGTCAAGCTTTCGCAAAAAATAATTTGATAAAGGAGATAGCATCATCATAAGAAACAAGCGCCGTAAAATGAATGAAATCTTATCAATCGGGCTACCTTAGCTGCTCGACGATATTAACATTTTTCTACGATCACATTTCTGCCTATAAGTGTCTGTATATCTATCTTGCTAGGGTAGTAGCAGAAATTTCTCCACAGCACAATATCCGAGAAATAAAAACTAGGTAGCTTCTTGGAAGCATTGTTAACGTCTTGTTCAGCTCATTTAAAGATAAAAATTGAAATATCAATTTGTGGGAATGATTCGAGGAAAGGTCGAAATCAAGTTATGCCGACTGTACAGCACGCCATACTAACTTGATCAATAATTCACTACCGAAATAAGATGGAGCGTCATTCGATTGAATTCATAAAAGAAATTTCGACTGTCAGCAAGATAAACATCCCATGGAGACAAAGAGAGCGCGGCAAAACTCGAGTGACTAAGAGGTGGTGCAAATTTTCTAAACCAATCCCAGTCATAAAGCATCGTGATGTAACACCAATTAACTTCATCTTTAAAAGATAATCTACCAGCAGTACACCGTATCTTCTTGATTCAAAGGCGGGAATCCAAGTTAGAATCGTTATAATAAAAACTTTTGTTACTGCGAGCATTAGCGAGCAGCAAAACTATTCCTGACTTTCCGTGTTAGGCCTGGGCTCTAAATGTATGCGTTCAACACTCGATCCATTGAATTGTGACTTCGTTCGTTCGGTGGAGATGATTTTGAAGATGCAGTATGAAGATCAGCGGCGGTAGTTTTTTAATTGTGCGTGCGCAGCCCACATGGTCCAATGTTCCTGCCATCAAGCCCTGGGGAGTTCATTAGTCGACCAGCGAGTAAGTTTTTATTGCTCTTTTTGAACTGATCTATCATGTCAGGTGCAATTCTATCAATCGCTGGAACTATTTATCAAGGTCACCGACGATTTGGTGACATTTCCAGGGGAAGAAAGTGCTTTCTTATGAGTTTTTCAGCGCTGTCGTGTGCACAATCATGTCCAGTGCGACACTTGGATACTGCTGACGGGGATTGTCGATCCTTTTATTTTCATTTATTAATCAAGTCGACTTTTTTTGTCAAAAATGGGCTATTGTGTTTATGTAATAAACAAAATAATACATGGTTATTTTCAGATATAAAATTTCTCTTCTCGTATTTGTTCTAGAGTTTTGCGGCTTTCCGAATTGCTTAGATAGAGGGAAATGCCGCAAACTGCTATATGCTGCTCAGAGTAATTCGGGAAATTGTAGCGTCTAGCGACTGGTTTGGATGCGTCCTTTTCATTTCTTTCTACGTCACGAAATTGTTCTCGGAATCGGTCACCTAGTCGTCTTCCTGTTTCACTAATGTATAACTTTTTGTATCAAATGCTAGTTACGCAATAGATGACATTGGCGGAGGTGCACGTGAAGTGATCGGTAATGGATGGATCTTTCGGGTTCCGACATTTTCTCTACGTTGTAAATGAAAGGACAAGTTTTGCATCGAGAGCGAGCGCATTTGCTTAGTTCCAGGTTGGCCGTTGGTCTCATATCTTGAACTTTTAACCAAGAAGTTGCTTATGTTTTTGTTACGTTGGAACGAAATTAGTGGAGGTTGCGTAAAGATAGTACCGGTCTCTGAATCGTTTTGAAGTAATTTAAAGTTTTTAACATTTGTAACGTTGCTCAAGAGTATCTTCCACTATCTTTGTTGCCGCAGATGTGCAGGCCGCATAAACATTTATCATCGTGATAAGTCTGTATATGTTAAAAAGCCAATTTTGAGATAAACTCACCAATCCTGAACGGCGTAAAATGCTGAGGAACAAGTTGACAAAACTTTCATCCGGAAACTGCCTTAATAACAATGCAAAACAAACCTGAGAATTTGCTCGAACTTGAGCAAAGCATTCTACGACTTGAGATACATATTTATTCTTGTGTTTTCAAGATCTACAAAGAATGATTTTGGAGAACGCCTTAGCAAAGAAACTGTTCATTGTTCCATAACACAAAGGATGTAAGGCGCTGGGAAGGCAAATCAAAATAAAATTATAATCAATAAAGAGTTGATGATATCTAAATTGATACGCAGTGATGTTACAAACCCTTTCCCACACATAGTGGGCTTGATACGGAAAATAACAAACAACAAAAATAATGATAAGCATAAAAATCATCTTAAGTAAATCTTTCTCCGGGTCTGTGTTTTCGGGTTTACTGTCTCTTCGGTTATTCTGATCGAGCAGAACACTTCTTCGTTCCTCCATTCTCGCGCCATCTCGCAACTCTTGGAGTTTAGTTTCAACAATACAAGAGGGTGCAACTTTCAAATCCCGATTCCTTTTCTTTATCTCTGCGATTCGCCTCCCTAAGTTCCACGCCACTGCTCCGTAAGATGCTAGCATTATCATATATGGTAAAGCGTAATTCAGGATGAATCTGATAGCTACATAGGATCTATTACTTACGACAGACAGCTCCTCACACTCACCATTTCTAAACCTGAGACCAAAGAAATAGGGGAAGGCGATTGCAAATGACAACAGCCACAGCCCAGATATGGTCAGAATTGTAATCTTCTTAGCGGATGATCCGCGTGGAAGAGGGTTTACAATGAATCTGTAACGATAAAAAGCGATGGCAGCCAGTGAGTAGATCACAATGAGAAGAGCAATTACTTGGAACGGATTCAAAATGCATGCGGCCTCTTGAAGGACGTAGTCAGTTGGATTCTGCTCTCTCGCAAACATGACGGCTAAACAAACACTGCTTAGAATTTCTGCGAAGGCCATGTTAGCGACGAGATGGTAGGACAGAGGCTTGCGGGAAGGTATGGTACACACAGCATAACAAACCATCGAGTTGCCGATTAAACTGGCCGAGATGATCACGGAGAAGAGGGTTAAACGGAAAATGTACAGAGCTTTTGGTTCTTCATATTGTTCAATTGTGCTCTCGGTGGAGGTATTGGTTCCACCTATGGTAGTGTTGGTAAATAACGACATTTCTGTGTTCCTTCGATGGAGAACTCCTAAGGGGTTGAAAAAGAGCGTTACATAGAATCGTCTATCACAGGTGACTTGCTCTACTGCTACTAGAAAGAGATATACAGAAACTTAATCCATGGTAGCTAATTTACATATCATTGCACTCTTACCTTTAAGAATCAATTAAACGTTTTTTATGCCATTGGATGTCGACAGTTAGATTTTGGTGCTTTCTGAAATTCCACATTTATGGCGAATTTACGGAAGTTATAAAAAATTGATAGCATTCCAAAACTTCCAGAGCCGCGACGAATTGTCTTTCAATCATTCTTTGTCCATCCTCAAGCGTTTATAATAACTTAAGAGAGTATCTCTGTAAGAGCAGTCCGGTCGATTTTGCTTGAGACACGGATTTCGCTCGTTTCGCGTGTGTTGTAAGACATTCATGTACCTATACTAAAACCACAATCAGTTTGATCGGATCTCTTTATTTTTCAGAGTTTTACGGAAATTAAATTTCACTCGAGCGAAGGCTTGTTGTGACACTTTTCAAGACTTTAATTTCATACAACTTTAGAGGACAATTTACAAAAAACTACGGAACTCAGCAAAAAACAAATACCACAGCCATATATATTAACTCTATCTTATCTATCGAGGCGACTTTCGTAAACATCACGTGTCAATCAAGGAAACAGGAAGACTTGAATGACACCTTATCGGTTCGCCTAAATCAAACACGCCAAAACCGATCAAATTCAAGGTAAATTTTTGAAAAAGTGAGGCGTTCTTAACTGATCCAACTAACATAGCTAGGAAGTAGGTGCCATAGAAAAGATAACTACAGAAAAAAACTTTGCGGCCCGACCTTTACGAGAACTTTATAACTCCGTGAACTTACCTAATTTTCGGCAATCTCCAAGTTTGGCCGCCATTTTGAGGGACTTGTCAACATGAAGCGTAACCGATATAAATAGGGCAGGTTAATCTAAAACCGTCAGAAATACATACGAAAGCAATTCAAATGAACTTTTCTTTCAATTCAAGCGGCAAAATTTGAAATTGTTTGTTAAACTTACCATCCCCATGCGACCATTATTCCGACAATACAAACACTACAACTTTCTGAATTCCCCTCGTCGATTCCACTGCAAGAAATAACCTGTGCCACCCAAGCTTCGACTCGAATGTGAAGTACGAATCAAATAACATAACTGCTTCATCTTCGCGGCAATATCACGCTGGTATTTTGATTTTCCGATCGACAAGAACGGTGATCAAGAATCGATCGGTTTGTTTACCTCGTAAACGTGACCGCTGACCAGCTGCTGAGTGAAAACAGTACGGTTCAGTGGCGAGGGGCGGGGTGAGGGGTGGATGCGGGCAGATTATCAGAAGGTTTTTGGGAACATTCGATAAACATTAGGATTCTCAGTCTTAATGCGAAGGCATACTTCGTGTTGCAGACAACTTTTGTTTTACTTAGTATTCTTTTTTATTTCAAATACACTTCGTTCCAAATAGGACTAGCATCAGTTCATAGATTTAAAAGCAAATCTTTACCACGTAAATAAATGTGTTTAGATAATCGAGATAACCATTGAACCTCTTGTATCGCACCGGAAATAACGTGTCTTGTCTTTGCCCAACTCTGAGAGCGTGGAGCGGCGAAGACGCGAGATACGAGTCTCGCGTCTCGCGGATTCACCATGCTCACAGGATACGCGTGACCTCACTATCTTTAAGAAAAATAAGAGACTACTCGAAGTCTGTATTCCGTTCAACCATTTTATAAGAGTGACGCGAGTCTTTCAATTGAATGAGAAAGTCACAAACCCATTCTTTACCTCACTAGCGTAACCACTGACCACTCACGAATTACAGTAGGCTTCTCCTTTGACGCGGAAATTGAAATCGTATCGAATATACAAAGTTCTAATGAGTTCCTTTAGATCTCCCGAACTTGTATCGCGTTGGAAACAATTACAAGTACAGGAAGAAGTCGTTCACAAGCGAGACGTTCATTATGTCTCAGGACTGCTTTTTGAATAGCAAAGATGGAAAAAACTTTGGTTCATCGTGTGGCTTAAGTGGTTTGGTACGACTGTCTGAATACAATGACGAAGTAAAACATCATTTGATAAGCTGCCACCTGTCTAAAGAGGTTTTTAAGTGAAAATGAGCTAATCTTGGCAAGGATTGGCCTATTTCACCTCGCTCAGGAGGATAAACAAAAAAATGTGGATTTGCTATAGGCATCGCTACACTCTGGGGAAGTTTTGGAGAAGTGCAAAGGTAACACGTCAGTACCCTGATCATGATGGTGTCAGGAAGCGTATCCAAGGCAGAGATGTAATTACCTTGCATATGTCTCAGGACGTTCAAAAGCTGTTTGGAGTTATTATTCCAGTTGAATCAGGTGGTCTTCAGTAACATTTTCTGTTATCTATTTTTGTCACGTGACATATCTGCTCGAAAAGAGAAGAAATTCTTTATTAGATGAAGGGTACTTAAGTACACATCACGTTGAAAAACGTAAGTGCTTTTCATCACAGATGGAAATATGTACAAAGTTGCTCGGTTGATAATCAATAATGTTTTTGTAGAAGATCAAATCACCTGACAACGCAATCTACTTACTCATGCGTACGGTTCACAATTATTTGCGGTCAGTTTTCCTCAGTTTGTATGATTCTCATTAACCGATATGATTAAACTTGCAGACTAAAACATCCCTTATTTGATTAAGAATAATGAAAGTAAACAGTGCATGTCGGTTTTTAATTCCTGATGGATGCTACTGGGCTTTACTTTAACTGAGAAATTTGCAATCGCTTACCTCAGCTCACTGTGTCCCATGCCGTAAGAAGCACAAGAAAAAAGTTGATGATAGTGAGTCTTGGCTGAGACAAGAAGAATCAGAGAAGAATCTACGGTCCCCAGAAACGCCACTTTTAAACACGAGACAACTAAGGTAAATTGAATGAATTGTTATTTGTTTTATTTAAAACTATCGTTCAGATTATAAGATACGCGAAAAACTCTCCCCACCGATTTTTTCCTACATTCTGTTAATCAAAAGTTTCAATAATTATAAAGGCTTTCTTGTTGATCGTCTTAATAGTAACAGTTTCCAGGATCCAAGGGGAGCAAAAGAGAGAACAATTTTCTGTGTAGCTAGGTAAGGCGACATGCCGGCTTTATACTTCTTCCGGCGTGATAACGATAATGATGACAACAATGGGCAAAAAGCACCGTCCGCTAATGATGACGATTATCATAGTTATTAACAATTCTCAGTTATAGTCCTGAAAAAAATCTCAAGGGGTCCTTTGAACCATCCTCTTAATCTCGCCAGAAGTCAAAGTTGCCTAAACTCATTCTAGGGTTCGTGCGATTTTACGACGAATTTTCAATTCCGGTGTGTTGCACGCGCGACTTTTGATAGAAAAAACCTGCACGCGCCATAACTTAAAGAACGTGTCAGCGGAATGAATCAAATCTCTATCACTTTGCATACATTCTTGGGAACAGAAAAAATTACTTAGAGCAAACATTCTAAGTATAATGTTCATTCCGTGCAATGGGGCATAAATAAAAGGTTCTGGTGGAAAAGACATTTTATTTTATACCACTGATGACAAGCAAAAAGGTTATATGGGTGCCCCGGTTAAAAATATATTGATAACTCTATTAATTAATACCAGTTCTAATTTAAAGGAGAAAGTTATGAGAATAAAACAAAAATTGTCTGTACCTCGAAGCATGCCTTCACTGTTTAGACTGATAGTCCTAAAGCTTTTTGAGCATGCATTCGAATATCTTATGACGATAAGCCCGCCAACCACCCCACCCCGCGCTATGCTATTTTCACTTAGCGGCTGGTCAGAGGTCACGTTTACGAGGTAAAAAAACCGATCTATTCCTGATCACCGATCTATTCCTGATCACCGTTCTTGTCGATCGGAAAATCAAAATACCAGCGTGATATTGCCGCGAAGATGAAGCAGTTATGTTATTTGATTCGTACTTCATATTCGAGTCGAAGCTTGGGTGGCACAGGTTATTTCTTGCGGTGGAATCGACGAGGGGAATTCGAACACTAGTTGTAGTGTTTGAATTGTTGAAAGAAATGGTCGCATGATGATTGTAAGTTTAACGAACAATTTCAAATTTTGCCGCTTGAATTGAAAGAAAAGTTCATTTGAATTGCTTTCGTATGTATTTCTGACGGTTTTAGATTAACCTGCCCTATTTATATCGGTTACGCTTCATGTTGACAAGTCCCTCAAAATGGCGGCCAAACTTGGAGATTGCCGAAAATTAGGTAAGTTCACGGAGTTATAAAGTTCTCGTAAAGGTCGGGCCGCAAAGTTTTTTTCTGTAGTTATCTTTTCTATGGCACCTACTTCCTAGCTATGTTAGTTGGATCAGTTAAGAACGCCTCACTTTCTCAAAAATTTACCTTGAATTTGATCGGTTTTGGCGTGTTTGATTTAGGCGAACCGATAAGGTGTCATTCAAGTCTTCCTGTTTCTTTGATTGACACGTGATGTTTACGAAAGTCGCCTCGATAGATAAGATAGAGTTAATATACATGGCTATGGTATTTGTTTTTTGCTGAGTTCCGTAGTTTTTTGTAAATTGTCCTCTGAAGTTGTATGAAATTAAAGTCTTAAAAAGTGCCACAACAAGCCTTCGCTCGAGTGAAATTTAATTTCCGTAAAACTCTGAAAAATAAAGAGATCCGATCAAACTGATTGTGGTTTTAGTATAGGTACATGAATGTCTTACAACACACGAGAAACGAGCGAAATCCGTGTCTCAAGCAAAATCGACCGGACCGCTCTTACAGAGACACTCTTAAATATCAGGAACAATGAGCTAATGCATCGAAGACAAATAATGGCCTTGATAGCAATTATTTACTTAAGTGGAAGGAAGGAAGTACTCATAATTTTTATCATGGAAGAATAACCCTTCGGATGGATAGATATAAATTTTCAAAACTGTCGGCTGAAGGAGTTAATGAGCCGACACAACGGGGTTTTTGTTTTCATAATTTGAAGGTAGTTTTTGAATTCGTCTCGTCACATATAGACTTAACTTAAAACTCATATTGCCGTGACGCGTTGGTGAGCTGTGGTTTCCTGATTTGCAATGTTTGTTCCGTATTCTTATACATTCCGAGCTTGACTTTTCATTGCCAGCAAAACTCACTTTGTAGGCTGATGGACAAAAAAAAAACCTATTTCCTTGCATCAAGTTTATGGTGTTTTGCAGTTCAGTCAATACAACCCGATTCAAAATTACCTTTTCGCGGTTCGCGTCAAACATTCCATACCTAGCTGGAGTGCACCTACTACGGTAAAGCGGCATTCGAAATTCTATAAAACTATAATAACATAAATAAATGGCAAAGTTCCCTTGCTTTTAATAAATTTGCCGTTTTTATGATAGATATTGGTTGTTCTCTGTCACCACACGTACTATTTGTACAGAGGGAACTTTGCTCGTTTGCGACAGTCTATGAAAACAGAACAATAGCTTAATTCACGATGCGTTGCCCTCAGCGCTATTCGGACTTTCATAAAAAATTATATTTTTTGGTGCATCAAATATAACGGAACCAAAATACTGAGTTTTATTGGGGCCCACCGACCGCAAGAATAAAAAATCAGAATCTTGTTCCTTGTTTGTTTTGCAAGTTAAGCGAATTGAATAATACGTTTTTAGGCTTTTTCTTCCCAATCAGAAACATACTATTAGTAAATAAAACTGAAAAATCCGTGGATTGTTGTATTGAAAATGCCATTTGGTTCCGTTTAACATTTTAAGTTCGCTAATTATTCCCCTCGATCAAAAATAAATTTCGGTTGCAGAAAAAGAAAATTCAATACGCACGAAAACAAATAAGATAAATGATTACAGTCTATTTGAATTTGAATTTCATTTGCTTCCAAAGCAGAATTTTTGTCAGATGATTCAGCTCTCTTTGGACTCTCAAGAACAACAGACTTTGGGAATGAATACCTAGGTGATCACAAATCCATAGAAGCTTTATTTTGTTATCACTCTAGGAGTAGAAAAGCTTATAACTAGGGAATGTGAAGACAGCCTAGGAAGGACGCTCGTTTCTCCGCCCGCCGGAAGATTTGAGACGATTAAAGACAGGAAACCTAATTGAAAAAGGTTCCGCGATTGATTTGAATGTCTAAATTACGTGCTGGCGTAATATAAACGTTCTTCTTTCACTGGTTTTATCAGTTCGCTGGTTTTATAATGTATATACGTAACTTAGCCGCTGTAGAAATTTTTTAAAGCTGACGTTTCGAGCGTCAGTTCTTTGTCAGTGCGAATCAATAGTGGACAATTTACAATTTGGTTTTCTCTACGGAGGCCAATTTACATTATAATAACATTTGACAATGCCGAAAAACCTTGTATTACCCTTCCACCAACGCAGCATCACAGTTTCTATAGAAATTTGCGCTCTTCATTACTCTTTACAGGGACATATTTCAATAAGAAAGTCTTGTTTCAAATTCATACTTTGATCAATACTTGGATGAATGATGCGGAAACCAGTTCTCCCGTACACAGAGCTTATTGCGTCAAGGTGGCAGCCGGCCTCGTACACAAAAATGGACCAGCGCTGCAAATGCCAGTCTTCAACAGAACAAACCCACGCGGGACTTAAAGATTACTCATTTCCTGACAAAAAATTAACTTTTAAGGAGCAGATATTTTGTGGGTCAGCTGGATAGAAGTTGATATTTTGCACGAGCTGTGGTACAGTAAAGCTTCTTTGATGAACGGATGATGAACATCATAAATAAAAAAGCATTTATAAAAAAATTTATAGTTTTAATCGAATATTCTAAATTTCATCAAGCGAATGCTACAAATTTTCGAAAGTGAGACTTCTTTTTTCTTCACAAAATATTATAACAATTTAAAAACGACCCACCTCTTCCGAGTATTTCCCTTTTTTTTTTCTTTTATCATTATTTTTATTTATGATTACGTAGCATACCATGTATAGGCATGATTCGAAACATATTATGGGAGCGTGGATCGAACGAGCACGACGAACTTTGATGCCCAATGCAGTCCAGGAACAGAAGATTTTAAGTATCCTCAGAAACATATTTGAAGTTAAGCTTCTCCCCTTTCCCTGTCATGCAAGCCCTACAGTTTGTCACGATTGAATCATGAATGAAAATATTCCATTACCTGAAAGACCTCACTGTGTTTGCTAAGTCCTCCTTTGGAAATATATAGGTTGACCGGCTTCACAAAACTGTACGGGAAGTAGTGAAAAATTGCGTGAGTCCGATGTGACAATTTTCAGCCCAGCTAACAAAATCTTCTCTGCGTGAAATTATCGGCTTAATACCGCACCAAGCTCATAGAAACAAAGCAGCTGTTTTTTGTCGAAGAAAATTCCCTTTATGCTTATTATCCTTCTTCACTTACAATTGATTGATTTAATTTTTTCCCTTAAAGAACATTTTTTATCACCATTAAACCATTTACTGCAACATTTGCTTCAGTAGAAAGTAAAATTAAATGACAAACAGATGAACAACTGTTTACCGAACGAAAACCCTTCAGAAATCTTTTTTTCTCGTAGGTAAACGGATGAATTATTCAACACAAATATCTTTTTATTTAAGGAAAAATTTTACGTGATGGTTAGTTTAAAATCTACTCTCCATTTTATCAATGGATTTCATCATAGGATTTCCCTGGATGGAGTGACAGACTGACAAGGAAATTGATTCCTACGTGCTAATTTTTATTACACTCAAACCGCAGTGTTTAAAGACCATCTTGAATATGAAGTGAGAGAAAATGTTGAATAAAACTTGTAAGAAGGAAATAGATGATTTAAGACCTCATTTGATAAATGATAATTGTTTCCTTTTAGGTTTATGCAGACGCTTCCTTGGTTTTTCCGCTATTGGTGGCGGAGACCTTTGCCCGGAATTTTAAAATGGACGACTGGGATTGAAAGGGGGTAAGCGATTTGGTGAAGAAAAAAACTTCGCCAATGGAGACAAATTTTGAAGCTTCCAGGAGGCTTTCAGTGAAATTAAAAGACGGCGGACGTGGTCCAAATACAGAAGATTCTCGACATTTTGTCACAGCAGTAATTGAATTTATTCAATGAAAAGTTCGGGCCTTTAATTGTAGTTTGCACAAACAATGGTTCAAATATTCGTAGATTGTAGAAAGTAAATATAATGCAATGTCTTGAAGACTGCGTGGACTTCAATTCTTACTCACTTCAAAATATTGGCGCAATTAACATTAAGAACCCAAAGGAGTATTAAAAGATGGAAAATTGAAATTCGTTCTTCAATGCGAAATTTAAGTTTGTGAGGAAACTTTATACCGAGTTGCGAAAGGTTTTCTCGGGGAATTTGTGCCACCGCACAAGATGCTGTGAACTCTTTATTTAAACAATCTTCACGTAAGGAAGAGCAAAAGTCACCACAAAACTAAACCTCAATGGCGAAACTTTACTTTGTTTTCCTCGTGACCTTAATTGCTTTGCATCTTTTACTAAACACTAAAAAGGTAACCAAATCATCCAATGCGAGGAGTCTCTCGCCTCGAGTCAGAGCTCGCTTCCGATTTTTTCTCAGTTTTTCAAATAATGATTCCACTTGTCCCATCTGCTGAAGTTGTTATGAAGGAGTAAAGTTGTCAACAAGAAATGATGGTGTCTTTTTTTTTAAAACCGGGTTTGGAAGGGTTGAAAGAATTTAATTCATCGATTTGAAATCAATGAAAAAAACTCAGTGCGAGGAAAAACAACTGTCACCGCAGAACTTTGTGTTTCGATTGTTTTGATAGCTTTCTTATTCTAACATGTAAGGAGGAAGTTGTTAAACGGTGACAGCTTGCGATCTCGTATTTGTTTCTGTAATGAATTCGAAATAGTTACCAGTTTGACATTTAATTTCCGTTGTTGTATATAATGTTGGCATATAATAATGAACGCGTTTCAAACTGAAGAAAAAAAAAGCTTATTCATGTAGGGAAGAGTTTTAAGCCACTAAAAACATTCATGACAGAATTTCAATGCTGCTTTTATTTTCCACAGAGCTTTTCAGAAGTTACATTTGATCTAGCGTAATTACATGATTTTGTTTTTTGTGTGTGTTCAGTACTATTAGATTAGAGGCGATCGACTTTGTATCCTTTTTGCTTGGTAAACATGTGTACATATGACGGTTAAACAATGTTCCTGTACGTTAACAAGTGTCATAACTATTTTTGTTGATGACCATCGAAAGATCAGCTTTCAATACTTTGATAGCGGAAACAAACGAGCATATTTTTTTCACAAATTGTTTCTTCATACTCGCTTTACTGAAGGTGAGATAATGAATTTCTTATTAGAAATATCACGTTCAACAAAACTCTTCAAATTAGTAGGACGTGCTTAATTAAACACTTTGCTGCACCCGAACGAACTCAAAATTAACTGTCATTTTTAATGGTAAGCTGCGTAAAACTCAGCCCTTTTCATTGGTTTATATCCTGACAGCTTTAGAGCTTAAATGTAATTGCATTTTCCAAACAATGTTTTATGCAGGTGACAATTGTCCGTTGGGTGTTAATATTTCAGTTGAGCTTTGTTCGTCAGTAGGCGACTATCACAATGAAAGGCTGAAGCTTAAGTGCAAGCACGCAGCGAATCTGCAGGAGTGATCGACAGGTAGTTTAATACAAGATAGTCTATTTTAGCTTATTCTCCCTTAAACTGGCCTTGTATGATTGTTTCTGCCCCATTTTTCTTCTCTTGAAATTTGCGGCGAAGGGGAATTTCGGTCGTAAGCTGATACCGTTACCAACTTGTAAATTGTAATGACTATACATGTCCTGAGAAGTGCAGAATGATGTATGTTTTCCTGTAAGTTATGATGTGGCGATCTTCTTGTAGTTTTACCGACTAAAACAATATTTCACAGTATTGTCTTTCATTTTCGGTCTGTGAGTGGCTCGAAATGAAAGATGGACATCACAGCACTGAAATGGGTTGTGCAGTTACAAACCCACCAAAACAGAAGAAAATCGCCATGCGCTGGATAGTGCTTTCACGGCAAAGTTTAATCATATTTCAAGGTACTTCTTTGTTATAATAACATTCAAAGTGGCAAATTTAGGACGATCTTTTTTCCTTCTGCCTCAACAACAAACTTGTACGATGTACGAAAAAGCCTAACCATAAGTAAGTTTGAGAGAACTTCAAAAACTATCGACAACAAGAAATAACGATACCAACGAAGATAAAGATGTAAGTTACGATTTTAAATACTTTTTATTGTGCTACTGAGTGATCTCCTTCAACTTTTGGCGAATACGTTGATTCTCATTTTCAGATTGTGGATCTTGTAAAACGCTTTGCACTTTAACTTCGACAGTCCAGCTGCCGTTTCCTTGCACTTTTTCACCCATTCAAAAAACAATTACGGAGACAAACAGTTTTGGCGACTCTGGCAAAATTTCGACTTAGAAATTTGCCTCAGAATAAGAGCGAACCTGATTCAGTTTCTGGACACTGAAATGAAAAGTACTTGGTGAAAACAAGGAAAAGTATACTCGTTTCTATTCATCGAACGACCAAATTTGCCATCTTTTGCTTCGAGATCTGAAATAACTCCTAAAACAACTTCCCAGAAACATACAAGTTGAATGCTGCATTATTTAATTGCTACTTGGGCCTCAAGCTCCATATTAAAAGATTTGTGGTGAATTCTTTGCTTTCAGACTGGCTCTTTTTCAACATGAAGCGCTACTAAATGATCTCTCAAATACCGCGCGATTAATCGAGATATTGTTGCCATAAAGGCATTTAGCAAGAAAAAGTAATTGAAATTTTAATTAGGTACCAAAACTATTGAAAGCGTAGAGAAATATATTTTATGATGTTTGCGTCTAAAAATACAATTAGTGTTAAATGGCGATAATTCAACAATTGTTTCGAGGCTTTCAATGAGCTGCATAAGTTATCTCGAGTTTTACATTATAAACGGATTCGATTGTGTGGAGAAACGCATTACAACTTGATACTCTATCGAAGCCGAGAAACGCGCATAAAAAAAATTATAATGGATTTGAAGCTCAACCAAGCTCCTTATTACATTTGTAAGTCACACATGTTCATTCCCCTGGTTCAGTTACTCTAAAACTTGCGAAAGGACATTACATTTTCAAGTCACTACAAACGTTCCTTTTGCATCACACATTGGTTAAATTTAGAGACAATATTATAATGACATTTTCGATTTGGAAGTTGTCCAAGAAACAGTCACGATAGCTGCAAAGATCCTCATAGATTCCGGAAGTTTTAACGGCTTTCCTCTCTGGAATATGGAGGGGCTGAACCGCCGTGAGGGCCCACAGTATCTTGAAATATTCTTTAAAGACCTCGAACTCTCTTATAGTCGTAAAAGAACTCTATTTTTAAAAGTATTCAAAAGTCTTTCATCAAAATAAATAAAGGCTCTTAACTTCCATTTAATGATTGTTAAAAATTCTACGCAGTAATTAAAGGAAGAAACATATATTCATCCGTGGAGACTGTCAAGAGGAAATAAAAAGAAAGGCAGTTTTAATTTAATGATAAAGAAAAACAGATTAAGTTGCTAAATTAAATGGGTTTCCATGAAATGAAGGACTGTTGTTTATGTTTATCCTAAACATGGCCTTCGCAGAAATTTTATGCAGCGTTTGTTTGGCCGTCAATGATGTTTTGCGACCGGGAAGAATCGAACTAACGTCGTTCTGCAAGAGGCTGCATGCACTGTGAATCCGTTCCAAGTATTTGCTCTTCTCGTTGTGATCTACTCACTGGCTGCCATCGCTTTTTATCGTTACAGATTCATTGTAAACCCTCTTCCACGCACACCATCATCAGTAAAGACAATTACAATTCTGACCATATCTGGGTTGTGGCTGTTGTCATTTGCAATCGCCTGCCCCTATTTCTTTGGTCTCAGGTTTAGAAATGGTAACTGTGAGGAGCTGTCTTTCGTAAACAATAGGTCCTATGTAGCTATCAGATTCATCCTGAACTACGCTTTACCTTATGTAATAATGCTGGCATCTTACGGAGCAGTGGCGTGGAACTTCAGGAGGCGAATTGTACAGATTAACGAAAGAAATCGGGATTTGAATGTTTCATCCTCTTGTGTTGTTGAAACTGAACTCCGAGAGTTTCGAGATGGCGCGAGAATGGAGGAACGAAGAAATGTTCTGCTCGAACAGAATCATGAACGGAAGAGACAGTAAACCCGAAAACACAGACCCGGTGAAAGATTTACTTAAGATGATTTTTATGCTTATTATCATTTACGTCGTTTGTTACTTTCCGTATCAAGCCCATTATGTGTGGGAAAGGGTTTGTAACATCACTGTGCGTCAATTTAGATATCATCAACTCTTTATGGATTATAATTTTATTTTGATTTGCGTTCCCATCGCCCTACATCCTTTGTGTTATGGAACAATGAAGAGTTTCTTTGCTAAGGCGTTCTCTAAAATCATTCTTCGTTTAAAAAAACAATGATGAATGTGTTTCTCAAGTCGTAGAGTGTCTTTTTCAAGTTCGAGCAAATTCTTAGGTTCATTTTGCCTTGTTATTAGAGCCGTTTCCGAATGAAAGATTTTTCAACTTGAGTTGTTCCTCCTCGCCGTTTAGGACTGGTGAGTTTATCTCGAAATTGACTTGTTGACTAGGCCATTATTTCATACACAGACTTATCATAATGATAATGTTTATGCAGCTTGCGTATCTGCGGCAACAACGATAGTAGAATATACTTTTGAGCTACGTTACAAATGTAAGTGATATGATTAAAGGAATATGCTTACTTGTTGAGAAGAAATTAAATTTGACTAAGGCCCTTTAAGTGCATGATAAAATATTATCTTCTTGTTGTTGATAGCGAATTCCTGTTCAAATTGAAAACGAGACTTACCTGTAAGTTGAATCCATCAGGCACTTCTTTCATGTAGTCATTGTCAACGATATGTAAGCTTTGTCCTCTTTGTACAGTGACCAATGACATCGACATCACCAACTTTAGCGCGAGAGTTTTCAGATCAAGCTTCTCATGGGGTTTGAGAAAGGAAATACAAGTCAAAACAGGTTGC